TCGTCTAGAAGATGTGAAGAGTGCCATATCAAATGCAAGGAATATTATATTCCCCCTCCCATTGCCGTCCATCTGTGCATTATTTCAAACCAGTTTGAGCAAAATGTGTAACTTTCTTCGATGTAATCGCTTTCGATTCTCTTCCTCTATTCAGCAGAGCAATCGCCAAACACCTTCCATCTGCTCTTGACCTCATGCCAGCAGCCACAAAGTGCGTCAATGTGAGATGGTTTTCGACACACCTTCCATCTCTCTCTCCCCGTATCCTGCAACACAGCAGATGAAATACATCAGGCACTGCCCAGCTCTCAGCATTGAAAGAGCAGGAAGCCTTTTGACTCCAGAAGAATGGACTGTTCAACAATGAGTTGCCTCGTTACTGATGTCCGCCCGGATGACAGAAAGGAAAAGACTTGTATTTAAACGAGGCCTGATCATATCAAGGTCTTTCAAAGCGCTTCGTGAAGACTTATTGTCCAGTGGAGCCAATTACCTGCCTTTGCCCCATATCCCTCGATACCCTGTCCTAACAAAAATCTATCCACTTCAGTCTTGAAAATTTGGATGGATCACAGCATCCACAGCCTTTTGGGGGAGAGAGTTCCAGGTGCTAACAACCCTCTGTGTAAAAGCATTTCTCACCAATAAATCACTGGTGTCAGTGTTGGGGTTCTGTCTTTGAAACCTCTCCAGTTTAACTGTTCTAACTTTTGTACATGTCAAATCTTTCTTGAGTTTTCAATCAACCGCCAGAATCTGGTTAAAAGCCAGTTAAATCGCTCATCCTTCCTCCCCTCGTCTCTTTCCCAAGCTTAACCTTTTCCGACTAACCCTGCGTCCACCTTAAAGTTACGAGGGGGCTTTGATAACGGAAACAGGGAGAACTTATTTCCACTGGTCGGTGAGTCGGTAACAGGAACTGTGGTTGAGGCAGAATCCATGTTAGCTTTCAAGAGGAAGTTAGATAAATATCTGAAAAGGAGAAAGATATAAAAGGATATGAGGGAGGAGAAGACAGGATAAATAGGACTGAACAGAAAGCTCTTTCAGAGACAAAACACAGGCACGACGGGCCAAAATCTCAATTTCTTTTGTTTCTTGACGGACGGAGTTTCAGTTTCAAATAAGCGTGGGGTGGAAAAGGCTCTTCGGGTGTTTTTTTTTTTGAGAGAGATGACATTGACTTTTCCGTCATTGACGTAATCTGTGGCTCTCCAGCCCAGAGCGAGAGCTGGTGTGCACGATGGCTGGGATCCACTCCGCTCTCATTCCATGCTGCAGTTTGACCTTTCACGTGCAAATCCCATAGCAACTCATTGTATTGCTTTCTTCCCAGAGCCCTGGCTTCCTGCTGAGCTCTGCCCAGCCCGACCCTCCTCACAGTTGTTGCTGGCTCCGTTTCCTCCGCTCACTTCCTCTTCTCCATCTTCCCTCAACTTAGCGCAAAGCAAATGGAAACGGATCCCTTTCCAGCTCCCCCCGACCGTACAGCAAATGAGAGTAACTGAAAACAGACCACTTCCCCCTCGTCCAAAAGCCATATATCTCTCTACTGTGCTCAAATCTCAGGGGGTTCAAACACTCTTAAGTGTTCCCAGCCCTGGCTGACACTCACATTGGCCAGCTTCAAAAGAGGGAGTTAGATAAATAGCTGCAAATGCTCAGGCAATGGGGGGGGAGAGAGAACATTGGCTAAGACTTCATTGAAGCTTGGACTAAATGGCATCAACAACAACAACTTGCACTTATATAGAGCCCTCCACACAGGGTAGCGTCTCAGTGTGCTTAACAACACCCATCCCAGGCCACAAGTAACCCAGTCATACCATCAGATGAAGAAGGTCCTTTGGCCCATTTGATCTCCTCCTTCCAGCAACCGATTTGCACACTACCAGCCAAAAAGCATAAGTGAACGGACAATTTATCCTGGGTTTGATTGATGGCCATGCTTACTGAAAGAACCTCCTTTTCCAACAGTAATCCCACAGCTGAAAATGGGCCTGTATGAAGTGTAGAATTCTTGACGATACAAAATCACATGTTCGAATTGCTAGCCGGTTGGGTTGGGTTATGTTGGTGACTGGCATTGGCTTCCTCCCTCCCTTGTTTCCTTCAAGGCACATCTCAAGACCTTCTCTTCAACCACACCTCTGGTCACCCCCCTACACCCACCCTCCCTGCCCTCCACCCCTCCTGATTCCAACCCCCAACTCGGGTGCAAATCCTTGACTGTCCAACTTGACTGCCTTGGGACCTCCTCCCAAAGTAAAAGGCGATATATAAATATAATTTGTTGTTGTTGTGATGGTGACTGGCATTGGCTTGTGTTGCTTTCCTTTGGTAGCCTTGAGCTGCCCGGAGAGAGGTAGAATCTGGACTCGTCTCTAACAAACGGTGACTTGAGCTGAGTCAAGATTGCCTTCCTGTTGTAGAATTTGTTCGGAAACATTGTTATATTTTTACATCTGTTCTTAAAGATCAGGCACTAGTATGGACACCCACCACCACCACCACCACCCACCCTCCTGATTCTGTTCCTGATGGTAGGGTCTCATTGCTGGTATCCAGTGACACAGCACTTGAAACGCCAACACAGGGGATGGGAACCAGGAGCCAAGATGGTGGCCTGAAGATCTTAGAGTAGCCTCTTTGTACTGAAGTTCTCATATCAACCTGTCCGCTCCCTCCGCTCAGCAGGCTCAGGCCTGCTCCATGTTCCCCGCCCGGCCCAGCCCGCCCCACAATCAGCGGTCAGGCTTCTCTGCCGTCACCCTTTGGCCACCATCCCACCGTCCCTGCCAACCACCTTCCCTGATTCCAACCACCCAGCTCGGGTCCAAATTCCTGACTGTCCAGCTCCCTTGGGACATCCTCCGGACGTGAAAGGAGCTATGTAAATGTAATTTTGTATTGTATTGAAGTTCGGGAGCAGACGTTTGTGTTCACAGCCACAGTCAGTCTCTAGGAAAGGACAGAGAAACGTGCCGTCTCTGTAACAGATTCGATGACACACACAATCTGTTGCACACTGTCACAGTTCAATAGCCTCACATCTCCCCATTTCCTGGAGCGCAAACTTCACGCCCGAGACTTGAGGCCATCTGTCGGCTACCGGGAGCAGATGCCCTCCCACCTCGGGGCACCTCCCTTGTCCGTAGACCGATCAGGGCATTCTGTTAACCACTTAATGCCCAATAAGCCCAAATGCCCTCCTCCCCACATTGCTGCTTGTATAGATAGGATGCGTGGAATTCTCTGTTTAGTTTGGTGATGGGTTTCCGCATGAGTCAGATACACAGCAGAGCCCTCAAAAAAGGATTGAGATCAAACGACTGAGCACAGAGCAGAGAGGAAAAAGCAATGGATACTGATTGGATTTGTGAACCCATTCCCTCTCCAATTATGCTCCGCTCTGCCAACACTGACCTGTTCCACAGCCTCTCTGCCCCACAATCAAGGGCAAATTTTCAGCCACTTTACGCTGCACCCTCTGGACCTCTCTCCCTAACTCACCCTAATTATGTAGTGGGTGGAACAGGCTGGATGGGCTGAGTGCCCTCCTGCTCCAATGCAATTTGGTCACTCAATCCACAGTCTTGTTTGTTGGACCCTGCAATGCGCAATTGGCTGCTGCATTTCGCCCACACAACACACGGTCACTACACTTTACAGCATATCCTGTGAAGCCCTTGGAGACATCTCAAAGACGTGATAAGGTGCTGTATCAAATGCAAGCATTAAAATTATTATATTACTAATGTCATGCCATGTTGCCATCACCCGTCTCTATGCTGTCGGTTGATGCCCCCGATGGTGGGAGGGGTTGGGGTGGAGGGGGGAGAGATGCCAGTTTGTTTGTATAATGGACGCAGTGGATACGTGATGTGACGTTGCTGTGTGTCTCAATGTCAAAAGCCAACGGGCGATGAGACCAGAGGAGAGAAACCGTTTGCTTCGTACACTTGGGCTTAAGACCCTCATAACAAGAGAGGATTGTTCAGAACACACCCATGACTTGAGAGGGTGGGGGAGAGGGAGGGAGGGAATGGATAGGCGAGGTTAACAACACCATAAATCAACATTAGCGGTCCTCCGAGCAAAGTAATGTGATTTGATGCCAAACAGCTCTGTTTTTCAATGAGAACAGCACTGCTAATTGTGATTCATACAAGCAGCTGAGCCCTTCGAACCAGTAAATATCCTTGAGGCAGTTCACAAGAATGTTCCCCGGTCAGCTATGTGACCCTTGGAAGCCGTTCACACACTGGGACAGATTTACATTGTAGCAGCAACTACAGACTGCTGAGTGCCACTCCCTACCCTTGCGTTACCACTCTACACTCATCCATCCCCACTGCTTGGACCCAAAGCCCTAATGGGTAGAGTGGGCAGGAGTTGGTCAAGTAGTAGGAAAGCTTCCCAGCCAGCGCTCTCAATGACTACCTGGAAACATCCGAGTCCCTGGCATTTCATCTGATTTATAACTAAGCCGTGTTGATTAGCACATCACCGAGTCGCAAGTTACACTCAAACTGAGGCAACCCAATACCTACTGATGATAATAATAATAATCATAATCCTTGCATTCGATATAGAGTCTTATCACATCGTCGAGACGACTCAAAGCGCTTCACGGGATATACTGTAAAGTATAGTGACTGTGTATTTTGTGGGCAAAACGCGACATGGGCTGCTTCGAAAACTGTAGCTAGAATCATTCAAAGAAGCCGTTCCTTGTATTAAAACAGTTTTATAAAAAAAAGATGACATTTGTACAATTATATATAACAGATAACATATCAGGCACTGGGCATTGCAGAGGCGAAATCTGATCATGATGTCTTGGTCCTTGATGTAAATGGATTGTATTTGTTCCGGGTCAGCTTATATTGTTAGCTCTGCTGCTACTCCCTGCAATACGGTACATCGAGACGCTGGCTCCATGTTATTGGAGGTGGCGGTGCTGCTCAGAGAGACTGCACAGACCACATCACTCTCCCACACACCCAGGCAGCATGCGGCTGGACCAGAACAGGTTCTTGTCCCTCCATCATTCTGTGCTGTAGATTGCGGATGGATTGATACAGTCGGTCTCCTTGTTTTTCAGCAGGAAAGGCAGGAGGACCCCTCCCTCCCTCCTCCCTCCCTCCCTCAGCGTTTGTCTGACCAGATCTTTGCTTTACTTTTTTTCTCTCCTCTCCTCAGAATGTCCGAGACACTGTTTCAGCAGGAAAGACTCCAGGCTATAGCGGTGAGTCTCCTATTTACACTGCTTCTTTTTGTATGTGTGTACTTGTCTATCTGTACGTCTGTGTACATGGCAGTCTGTATGTCTATGTCTGTGTGTGTGTGTGTGTGTATGTGTACTTGGCTGTCTGGGTGTGTCTGAAGGCGAAGGTCTCAGGAGGAGACTGGGAACAGTGAGCCAAAGGGATGATGCGTAGGGGCAGGCGAAAAGGGGTCAGAGTGAGAGGAGGCACTTTGAGGGGAGGGAGAAAGGTGGCAGGATTAAGAGGAGCAGCGATGGAGGAGGAGAGTGAGAATGGGAGTGAGCAGGGGAGGATGGGGTTGAGGGAGAGAGTGTGAGGGGAGGGACTGAGAGTGGATGGAGAGAGGATGAAAGTGAATCGGGGGGGGAAAGGAGGATTGGGGCGAGCAAGAGCGTCTTGGAGGAGGGGGGAGAGATTCAGAATCTTCTTGGCCATTAGAATCAGATCAGCTCGATGAGGATTGAGAGATATTTTCCTCCCGCCCACACACCACAAACAGATTGAATTAATGCCGTAGTTCAGCAAAAATGGTAAATGAACAATATCGATCCCCCCCATCATCTATTTCTCCCCCCACCTCCCGCCCCGCTCCACACCCTCTTCCAATTCGGACGTGTTATTTAAAACCAAAACGATGCCTGACCTTGGTCTGTAGTAATAATAATAACAATCCTTGCATTTGAGATAGCGCCTTACCACGTCTTCGAGGCGTCTCGCAGCGCTTCACAGAATATACGTTAAAGTGAATTGACGTGTGGGCGAAACGTGGCAGCCAGTTGCGCGCAGCAGTGCCCCCACAAACAGTCATGGATTGAAGATGTACCTTGAATGACTGGCTGTAGGTGGGATGTGAAAATTGTCCACGCAGCAAAAAGGTTCCGGGTACACGAGGGGTTAATCTCTGTGTCTCCTGGCAGGGTGGGGAGAGAGATGTGATTGATTTATATTCGGTCTCTGATGCCTCTCATCCTGGCAGAGACAAGTGCTGTGAGAAGATGCTGAATGAGGGAGATTAATATACTGCCCCACGGTGCTTGTGGGCTGGGTACGATCGTGAGGGGGGAGGGGGGTGGGGTTGGGAGGGGGTGTGAGGTGCGTGGGCTGGGGGTGGGTGGGAGGGTGGAGTAGGACGCGGGTTAACTCACGAGAAGTGGTTCAGTCCCAGTGTTAGGGCTTCACGTTGTACACCTCCCGTCAAACATACTATCCCTGCTTTCAGCATATGTCAGACTGGCTACTATACCACTGTACTATCATCATTGGGAACCTGCCCGGATAGCCCAGGGTTTCTAACCCTTTTCACGTCCCTTGCGGTTCCTTGCTTCTTTGGGGATGTCAGGCTGCGGAGACAGGCGTCACTTATTGCTCCATTTCCTTCAAACAGAGAGCGCTGAGAATCCAGTAGCTCACTGCCCGAAAACCGTGGTCAAAGCGAAACAGCATCGATGTATTTAGGAGGAGACGTGATGTGAGCGTGAGGGGAACAGGAGGGGTGGGGGCTCAGCATGGACCGGTTAAGCCGAATGCCCTGTTTGTGCCGTATCACTCTCTGTAATTCACTGTCGTTCGTTAAAGAAGTGCCAGTTTTAACACAGCTCAGGGCTTTTCTGCAGAAGGCAAATGGCCTGGAGCTCGCCCAGCATCCAACAAGGAGCCTTAATGCATCGTGATGCGCCATAATGCGGACTAACTGCACCATAATGCAGCCTAATGTGCTGTAATGTATTAAAGTGATTAATATAATCCACAGATACTGGGGCTGAGGTTATTTATGGTTCCCCCTAACCCCCACCCCACCCCTCTCATTGCTGGCACTGACACAAGGTTATTGTTGAACCATAGTCTTTATGAATTGGATGCTTGAATAAGCAATCTCGCAAGTTTGACTCCAATAATCTAAAAATCACAAGATCACGAGAGACTTTCGGATGAAGAAGGCCCTTTAGTCCGCATGATGACATGCTTCCAGAATACCCAACGTACTTAATAACAATAATATAATAATAGTCCTTGTGTTTTATAAACCAAGGATTATAAATCATCTCATCTCCCTGAGATGTCTCAAAGCGTTTCACGGAAAATACCGTAAACGTAATTGACTGTGTATTTTGTCGGAGAAACATGGCAGCCAAAGGCGCACTTAACCCCCTCCCCCCACCCCCACCCCTGAGTGACTCTGAATACCCTGCAGTTCAGGTTTTCCTCTACATTAACACTGGGCAGCTCCCATTCTGGTATCTCAATGGCACAGAGAATGGGAACAGGCCAGCAGCACAGTAGTGCACCCTACTGGCCAGTCAAGGCATTGCACCGCCCAGCGCCAGTTAGAAATTGGCTCAACAGTGAGGCTGTTTCCACCTGTTGGCGAGTCCAAAACAAGAGGGCGTAAATATTAGATAGTCAACAGTACAGCGCCCCGGGACGTCTTTCCGAAGTGAAGGGCACTATACAAATGTGATTTGTTGTTGTTGTTGTAGTGGTACATCTACTCGGGAGTTTAGGAGGAACTTCTTCACACAGAGGGTGGTGAGAATGCGGAATTCACTGTGGTTGAAGCAAAAACGCAACAACAACTTACATTTATATAGCGCTCCTCACACAGGGTAGCGTGCCAGAGGGCTTGGCGGTCGCAGAGTACAACACTAAGCCGGGAGGAGAGGTTGGGGCGGGGTGGGGGTGGGGGTGGGAGTGGCGGTTGGTGGGTGGGGGGGGGAATAAATACATCAACATATTTAAGCTGTCTTTAAAAATACATCAACGCTATTTGAGAGAAAGCTTGATGCAGACACGAAGGGGAAGGGACGAGAATAGGAGAGGGTGGGTGGAAGGCGAGGGGTGGGAGCTGGTGTGGAGTGTGTGAACACGGTGTGGGCTCGTTGAGCTGAATGGTGTGTGTGTTCGCGCCGGTTCAGACTGCGAAGCTCCTGTTTTATAAGCTGTCCCTTGTTGTCCTTCCCAGGAGAAGAGAAAGCGACAGACAGAGATCGAGAACAAGAGGCGGCAGCTGGAAGACGAACGGCGTCAGCTCCAACACCTCAAGGTTTGTTTGCAAATAAGAGCTAAAGAGTTTGCAAAACTCAACCATATTAGGGCCCAATTTAGGGCAGTATTTCTTTTTAACAGATTTCTTCATTAAGCAAAAAGACTGTATGTTGAATGCTCCTTCCCAGGTGAGCGGGATATCCCCCCACTCACAGGTTAGAGATCCCCTTCCCCCACTCCCTCCACTCCTCCCCTCCCCCATTTATGTGGCAGATTTTGCTTATTAACAAATCCTGCCATGGAAATGGCTCGGTTTGGGTTGGATACTCTTTAAGCACGGTGATGGGGTTTAGCCGAGTGTGACAGACACTCGGCTGACCAAGGAAAAACTTTCCCCAAAATCTTCCTTCACTGCCTCCAACCTTTCAACCCCCACCCCCCACTCACAGCCTCACTCTGCTCTGTGTTGTATGTTCCCTCCAGCACTCTTCCTGTCTTCTAACTCTGTTCACCACTCCATTCCCTCCGATCCACCACCTATCCACTGGTATTTCTTCCCATCTACTTTACCTTGACGCTTCTATGCCTACAATGAAACCTCCTCACCCCCCGATCTCCAATTAATCCAATCAATCAATCATTCAATCGCACGCAGAACACACAGTCAATCCACTTCACAATATCCACACAGGATAGGTTGTGAAGCGCTTCGAGACATCTCAACGACGTGATCTACTACATCAAATGCAAGAATTATTATTATTATCTTTTAACCCTGTGTTTTAGTTGCCTCTTTATTTCTTACAACGTGACATTTGAAAGCACTATGATAGGTTCTCTTACTTGAAGGACGCTGTTCTTCAGTGGTAATCTGACTGATCAGGCAGTGTACATGACTTGCTGTAAGTGTGTTTATGATCTGAAGTGTCCTCGGCTTTAATTCTGTATTGTCAGCATATTTCCCCACTTATTTCTATGAATGTCTGTTCTGTTCAGCCCCTCTGCAGACAACAGATCTCCCGACCCCTATTCCCAGCAGTCAAAGACTCTCATCCATTAATGGTTCATTCAAGTGAAACAATCGTTGCTCAGTGCAGATCACTGAACAAGACTGAGCAGTCGAAACGAACGCAGAAAAGTATAGACGCAGAACGGAAAGCTGCCTGTGTTCAGGGCCAGCGGGTGTCAGACTCCAGAGCCAGGCCACTTGGCTTTCACATTTCCTGGAAGTTATTCATGGGTCTGTTATAAATACATCTATAGAAACGCCGCACAAAGATGTGAACGGTACATCGGGTGGTCGTGGCTGGGGAAGCAGCAGGAAGCTTGGCGGAGAGTGGGTCGTAGTGGCAAGCTGCGGGGTTTAGGCTGTCTTAAAAACCCCAGCCAAACCCTAACACACACATACACACATAGGAACAGGAGTAGGCCATACAGCCCCTCAAACCTATTTGGTGTCAGGCTTCACCACTGTCAAGCGCTCCGGGACGCTATATTAGGAGTCCTGTAGCTCAGTAGTTAGAGCACTCGCTTTGCAAGTGAGAGACCTGAGTTCAATTCCAGGCAGAGGGCGAAACCTTGGGCAAGTTTCCTTACTCCACACAGAGCCTAATAATAATTCCTCCAAAACCAAAAACAATAATAAATTGGTCATTTTCAATCTACGACTGTTTGTGGGACATTGCTGTGCCCAATTGGCTGCCGCGTTCGCCCACAAATATACAGTCAATTCACTTTACAGTGTGTTCTGTGAAACGCTTTGGGACGTCCTCCCGACGTGAAAAGCGCTATATCAAATGCAAGGATTATTATATTATTATTATTATATAATTGCAAGTGGCTAATCTGTACCTCAACTCCAATTACCCGGCTTTTTCCCATATCCCTTGATACCCAGCATACATCTAACACACACTCGGTGGCCCCCAAGCCTTAGCTCCTGCCACCCTTCCTGGTAACCTGTCACAGCCATTGATTACCCTCTGTGGAACCTGACACTTGCCTGTGCCTATTCTAAACTTGAAGCGCTTTGAGACTTCCCAATGATTTGATAAGGCGCTGTACCAAATGCAAGGTCTGTTATTATAATATAATATAATAGCAATCCTTGCATTTGATATAGTGCCTTATCACGTCTTCGAAACGTCTCAAAGCACTTCACAGAATATACTGTAAAGTGAATTTTGTGGGTGAAACACGGCAGCCAATTGCAGACAAATAGTCGTGGATTGAGTGACCAATTTTTTGGGGAGGTAGGGATTATTACTCCCGGAAAGCAATCCTTGGTAAACTTGTCCTTTAAACCCTGGGCCTGGGCTCACAGCCTTGGCCTATCTGAAGTTTGGGAAAGATATATTGTCCTTGGAGGGAGTTCAGTGCAGCTTCAGTAGACTGATACCATGCCTAAGAGGGTTAAATTATGAGGACAGGTTGCATAAATGTGACTTGTATTCCCTTGAGTTTAGAAGGTTGAGGGGTGAGCTAATTGAGGTTTTTAAAATGATGAAGGGATCCGATGGAGTAGATACTGAAAAACTATTTCCTCTGGTAATCCAGAACAAGGGGTCATAATCTTAAAATTCAAGCTAATCCATTTAGGAGTGAAATTAGGAGGCGGTTTTTCACCCAAAGGGTAGTGGGAATCTGGAACTCTCTCCCCCAAAAGGCTGTGGATGTCTGAGCCATTGAAATTTTCAAGACTGAGGCGTCTCGAAGATCTTTGCTAGGCAAGGATATCAAGGGATATGAAGTAAAGGCGGGTAAATGGAGTTGAGTTACACATCAACCATGATCTAATAGAACGGCAGAACAGGCTCGAGGGAATGAATGGCTTCCTCCTGTTCCTATGTTCCTAAAACACTGTAAGCAGCTCAATACTGTCACGTAATACACCCCCAGATATATTATAACATGGAAACATTCCCCAAAGGAAGCCAAGATCTAAGTGAGTGACAGTATAGTGGGATTACTTAGAGTTACACTGTTCAAAGGGTCTCTCTGCTAAATGACATGGTGTAACCATTGGCTTAAAATCTATACGTACCTACAAGACATTTTTCTCTAATCTCCTTCCTGTTGAACGTATCAGCCAGGCTCAGAGTTTAGAAGTCACAACATAGATTCTGGGGTTCAAGCAGTGATGTTAGTGATAAAATCCTGAGCTGTTGTGGTTCCTGGAAGTCTCCACACTCCCCGATGTGAGGCCAGCCTAGCTGACTGGCCGGTTACACCCAAATGAATAAGTAAAATAATCATTACACTTGGCCACCGTTCATGTCCCAAAGCGATTCGCAAGATTTACTGTCGAGAGCAATGACTTGTGTGTTTTGTAGGTGAACGCGGCAGGCAATATGTGCCCACCATTGGCCCCGAAACAGACATTAATTGAATGCCTCCCCGACTATTTTGAGAGTGGGATTCCTTTGAGTCCGTGTGAGTGACGTGTGCACGGGTGGCATGTGTAAGTGACATGTGTGTGAGCAGCGTGTGCGAGTGACATGTGTATATGTATGACGTATTTCCAGGGGAGTCCCCAATCGCGTTTCTTAATTAGGAAATCCTTGACAATTGACTCCCAACACCTCTTCCTCTCCGTAGAGAACCCAGAGTATTAACATGGCGTCTGCTGCAAATGGCTTTCCACCCCGCTGGCTACCGCCTGCAGTCTACGTTTCTATTGCTGCCTCCCTGTCATAACGCTTCTAGTTAATTTCAGCTGTGTTTTATAGTCCTGTGCTTAACTGCAGTGTCAGGGCCAAGCTAACCTTGGCAGCCAGTCTTAGCAATGTTGGGTCCAGATGCGTTCACTCATTTTAATTTCACTTCAAAGGCATTCATTCTGCACGGCTCCCAGTGATGTTACAGTCAGCCATGGAGACTGACTTCAGGCTCCTCAATAAAGCCCTCCCCCCACCCCCTCGCTCCCTGTCTCCCTTCACCCCCGCCCCCCTTTTCTAGTTCATTCCCCAGCCTGAAGATTAATCCTATTACAGAGCCCCAAATGTCCCTGTTTGGCTGGCTCTGGCCTACAAATACACAGTCACTACACTTAACAGTATTTATTCTATTCCCCCCCCCACACTTAAAACATTTCCACATTATAACTGCAAGGATTATTATTTTTATTATTGTTGCTGTTATTAAAGCCCCAAAGCTTTGGAACTGTCTTCCCACAATCTCTCCGCCTTGGCCCCTTTTAGATCACCTTCCAGTCACCTCCTCCCTCCCTCTGACTCGGAGTCAGGCTCTGCCAATGTTAAATGCTCCGAGACCCTGTACCCTGCCCCCTGTGAAGGGCGCTACATAAATGCAAGTTGTTGTTGTGTTATTTGGGGGAATTATTTCCACGTGAAGACACATGAGGCAGGGCTGGCTGAGAGATTTGGTTGTGCTGTGGACATCCCCCAACAAATGATAGATTCCAAAACACCCAAATATGCAGAACTTCAATCATTCAGGTCAACAAGTGCCGTGTTGACTTGTCCTGAACACAGCAAAGCAGAGCAAAGCATCGCGGATCGCGCAGAACTCCAATAAAAACACACCACGGGTTAGTTACACTGAAGCCACGAGGTTGGTCTCTGCCAAAATGACAAGTTACAAGTGACCTTGTGATGTTCGTTCAGATCCTCCAACCACTGCTCCCTGTTTATAACCAGGAGCCTCAAGTAAATGACACCAACAGCAAACAGTTGGCATCTGATTGTTTTCTGCTTTTGTTGTATTTTTCCATTTTCCATAAAGTTGCTCACGTTTTAAAGCCGCTTTCTATCCTATGATGAGGTTAATGTGTGTACATTGTCGGAACATTGCTGTGCGCATGTGGCTGCCACCTTTCGCCCACACAGTATACGGTCAATTCAGTTTACAGTATATTCTGTGAAGCGCTTTTAAACATCTCAAAGAAGTGATGAGGCGCTATATCAAATATAAGAATTGTTCATATTGTAGTCTCAGCTGTTAACGTCTGCCTTACAAATATAGTTATCCCTGCTCTTGTGCCTTAACTTCTGCTCTTTCTGCATCTTGCGTGTGTAGTGTGTTCTTAACATGTTCCGGGTTTGTGCAGTGTGTGTGTTTGTGTACCAGTCTGCGCTCTGTCTATGTGACGTGTGTGCCTTGTGCTGAGTCTCGTTGTCTCTGAACACACACTACAGTTTCAGAGGAAGATCAATGCAGAGTACTCTCCCCCTCCTCTCTCCCCTTGGATGTTCTGCGGCTCACCCAACTCTGAGCTAAAACCCAAATTCCAATAGATCACTGACGGCGGAAGATTGTATCTGACAATGTGCAACTTGTTAAATCAAAGCCGTATACAATCTCTCACATCTCTGGCATCTCAGCTAAAGATGGCATTGGGAAGCCACATGGAAACCTCGTGAATGATCAGCCGAGCTTGGCAGAGAGGCATCTCCAGGGCAGTGCTGGGTGGAGCGCGGCCTTGTCGGAGGTGCCGTCCCTTCGGATGAGTTCAGCCCGTGTCTGCCAAGGACATTAAAGATCCCTTTGGCGCTGTTTGAAAAGAGGCGGGAGTTTGGCCAACTCACTCCTACTCCCACCTCACTGAGGCTCTCACTCCATAATAATAATAATCATAATAATACTCCTTGCATTTGATACAGCGCCTTATCACGTCGTTGAGATGTATCAAAGCGCTTCACAGAATATGACCCGAATTGACTGTCTATATTGTGAGTGAAACGTGGCAGCCAATTGCACGCAGCAGTGTCCCACAAACAGTCATGGATTGAGTGGCCAAATTATTATTATTATTTTTGGGGAGAGAGGGAGGGATTATTACACTCAGAAACCGATTCGCCAATCGTCAACTGCTGGGTTCCATCTCTGCAAAGCGCTTTAAGGCGCTGTATGTGTGCGAGTTATTGTTGTTGCTGTAGCTGGACACATCTCTATTGTTTCCACAGAGCTAATAGGGGCCCCTTTCCCTTCCTTTCATTTCCCTTTCACACACACATACATACATTCCTGTAGCTCAGTGGTTAGAGCACTCGCCTCGCAAGCGAGAGACCTGGGTTGATTCCCGGCAGGGCGAAACGTTGGGCAAGTTCCCTTACTCCACACGCCTCGGTTTACAGCAGTAAATAGGAACCCAGTTGTTAGTCGATTGGCGGATCATTTTCCTGGGGGTAATAATTCCTTAAAAAAAATAATAAATTGCTCACTTCAATCCACGACTGTTTGTGGGGACACTGCTGTGCGCAATTGGCTGCCGCGTTTCCCCCACAAAATATACAGTCAATTCACTTTAAAGAACGTTGTGTGAAGCGCTTTGAGACGCCTCGAAGACATGACAAGGCGCTGTATCAAATGCAAGGATTATTATTATTAATATTATTCACACACTCTCCACTCCCTTCCAACACCCACACCCAGCCTGACATATGAGATGAAGATCTTTCTCTGCTCCTCTCTAATGACTCCTCAGGGCTTAACTGTGCGTCCGGACGGATCCAACCGTTTCCCTATGGATGTGAGTTGACAACATTGTTACACAGCGTTGGCAGCGTGGAACGTGACAGCTGGTGCAGTGTCAGGCCTGAAAGTGCCGGATTGCGGAAACCCAGAAATTAACCCTCCGTGGTCCTTGGTTGAGTTTGATCCCGCCATCCGTCCTGTCGTGACTAAACAGAAACAATTTGCATTTATATAGCACCCTTCACCCAGGGCAGGGTCTCGGGCCGCTTGCTCCGAGACTCGCTCGGCCTTCAGAAAGCCGGAGGTTTGAGGAAAACAACAGCAACACATTGCACTTATCCATCGCCTTTCACAGAGGAGAGAAGGAGGGGACGAAGTGGATGGATTTCGAAATAAGAGTTCCAGAGGGCAGGGCAAAGTTGTCTGAAAGCTCGACCTCCGATAATAATAATGATAATAATAATAATAATTAATAATAATAATAGCAATAATAATCCTTGCATTTGATATATCACTTCTTCGAAATGTCTTAAAGCACAGGATATACTGTAAAGTATTTTGTGGCAAATGTGGCAGCCAATTTGCACTCAGTGATGTCGCACAAACAGCCATGGAGTGTGTGACCAATTTTGTTGGGGGATTGTTGGCCATGTTACGGGCAGAGAGAAACTCCCTTCTCTTTTCAAATAGCAACAGCAACAAATTGAGTTTATATAGCACCTTTGACGTCATAAGACACTGGGATGGGAGTCTGGGGTGTTGAGTGTGAGGTGGAGAATTAAAGTGTGTGTGTGTGTGTGTGAGAGAGAGAGCTTGGAATATAAGCGTGAAGCTGGGGTGTGAGTGTGAGCTGGGAGAGGGGAAGAATGAGTGTGAGCAGAGGTACGAGTGGGAGCAGGAGTGTAAAAGTGAGCGGGGGTGTGAGTGTGAGTGGGGGGTGGGGGGGGAGTGTGAACAGGAGTGTTAAAGAGAGCCGGGAGGTGGCTGAGAGGCTTATTACTGGCAGCAGCTGCTGTAGCGTAAGGGGAATTTGCTGCCTCTGTTTTTGCCGAGAAGATGATTGAATGTTGTACTGTATCAGTGTTGCAAAGTGGGCACTTTTATGAGCTGAAATCCTGGTTGGAGCCCAGCGCAGGCAATGTGTTCAGGTCGGGCAGGTTATTGTTATAGTGTGCCTGAAAACGACAGACAGACACGCACACAACACTGGATTCTGGCAATTTCCCTGGTGTTAAAAATCTAGTCATTTATTTCAGTCAGAAGCTGAATCTTTGTTCACACGAGAGAGAGAGAGAGAGAGAGAGGAGGAGGAGGAGAGAGAAAGAGATAGAGAGAGGAGGAGAAAGATAAAAATATATACAGTATACAGAGATATAGGAGGGGGAGAGAGAGAAAGAGATGGAAAGAGAAATAGGGAGAGATACAGAGCGAGAGGGATAGCGAGGGACAGACAGATACAAGGGAGAAAAATGGATAGAGAGTGGAAGATAAAAGAGAGTAAAATGGATAGGGAGAGAGACAGAAAGATCCGGAGGGATTGAAATGGGTAGAGAGAGAGAGAGAAAGATCCAGATGGAGTGAAATGGGGAGAGACACAGACAGACGACAGACAGACAGAGAAAGAGATTGAGAGACGCTAAACTGGGAGATTTACTGATAACTGTCAGTGATCCCTCCTGATCCTAACACCAAATTACAGCACAAGCTGTTATTGGGTCAGTCAATAAAAATCCAAATCTTTTTGTCACAGTGGCTGACACTGACTGAATCCAGGGATGAATGAATGAACGGCTTGAGGTCAGGACTGGGCAGTAGTACATCAGAGCCCAGGCCATTGCTCCAGGTCCCAGAGGAGCCGGGTTACAACCCAGGCCCCGGTGTTGATCGGAAGAGCATCCAATCCCACTGCACCACCGCCCATTGGCGTTGGATTCTGTCCCCTTCTCCTCTGGGGGGGATCTCTGGGATGGAATCCAGCCCAGAATCATCTTGGGATGAAACTGCAGTTTACATCTGGAAGTCATTTGATCATGTATTCAAAGGAGGTTCCTCATAACACCAGAACAATACTTTAGGATACACAGAGACAGTAGAACAAGAGGCCGCAGGTTTAGAATTGCAAAGGGCAAATTTCAGGGCAGGGCAGAAACCAGGAAGTATTTCTTTGCCCACAGGGTAATTAATGACTGAAACAGGGTTGCCAGGTAGAGTGATTGAGGCCAGGACAATGGGATTCATTCAAAAATCAGTTGGATGTTGTGATGGGAGGACGGGATTAAGGGTGTAGAAGGATGAGATGTACTGGGCCAAAGGACCTTCTTCATCCAAAATCGTCTTGTGATTTATATGGATCGTGATCGGAGCAAAGTGTTGGATTACAGAAAGTGATGTCAGCAGTGTTCTTGTAACCCAGAGGTCATCCTTTTTTTTAGCTCTTCATCCTAATACAGGGCCTGAGACACTGGGCGTTATAAAGCTGTTTGTACTGAATTTAGGCCTTACAAAGGGAGGGTGTTCTGTCCCTTTTAGGAGTGAAGCCTCTACTGAGCATTGAGAGCTATGAACCACCCAAAGCTGGTAGAACGCACTGATGTGACAGGAAGTGGCCCCTTATAGGGTGCCAATCAAAACAGGGAATATTTACTTCCTCGGAGAGCTCAATTGCATCACCTTTGATCTTGAAATAAGCCAGAGGCTGGGCTGTGACAGGTCCAGGACATGGGGATTCCAAGAAGAGAGTCAACCCTGGGGTCAGAGGCTCCCAACAGAGAGGCGGTAAAGTCACAGGAACTCACCTGGAGGTGAGCTGATAACAACAGCTGTGGTCCCTGCTTCTTGCAGTGACTGTTGTCAGACTGTAAGAGATCGGGGTGAGGGGTGGGATGGGGGTGGGCGTAGGATGTAAACCACAGTGACCCTCGTTTGTTATCAGTTCACCTCCAGGACAGTTCCTGTGACTTTATCTCCTCTCTGTCAGGAGCTTTTGACCCCACAGATGACTCCCTCCTTGGATTCCCGAACCCACACACTGACTGTTTCACTGGGCTGAAGAGACGAAGGGAAGCACTTAAATTGGAGGCAGAACAACCCACACAATGCTGCCCTGCTCCGACCCCCATTCGTTTCAAGATCCTATGCTACATTCGCCTACGAAACACACAGTCACTACACTTTGCGTTAAAAGCCTGTGAAGCACTTTGAGATGTCCTCCCAATGTGAAAGGCGCTGTATCACACGCAACAGTTATTATTAAGTTATAGATTATAAATCCCTGACTGTCCAGCACCTTGGGATGTTCTCCCGACGTGAAAGGCGCTGTACAAATGTAATTTTGCATTGTATTTTTACTATTATTATGCTGTGAAGCGTTAAACTGTAACGTGTAGTGACTGTGCAGTGTGTCAGCCAGATCAAGACATGAGCTGCCGGGAATCTGATTGTGGCCTCTGCCTTTCACAGTCTAAGGCCCTGAGGGAGAGATGGCTTCTGGAGGGAACCCCATCATCTGGGTCCGAGGAGAACGAGGTGATGAAGAAACAGTTCCTGGAGGACGAAGTCAAGACCAAACAGCTGGAGGAGATCATCCAGAGGTACCGTTAGTGTTGTGCACATCCGGGTGGATAAATGGCGTTGAGGTACAGATCAGCCATGATTTAATAAAATGGCGGAACAGGCTCGAGGGGCTGAATGGCCTCCTCCTGTTCCTATGTTCCGATGATCCTTACACAAGTAATAGAATCATAGAACATTACAGCACAGAAGGAGGTCATTCGGTCCATCATGCCTGCGCTGGCTCTTTGGAAGAGCTACCCAATCAGTCCCACTCCCCCACTCTCTCCGCATAACCCCTGTAAGTTAGTCCTGCAAATTAAACCCCAACGTCTTTACAAAGAGAGTCTCTGTGACAAACCTGTTTTCATTTTGATGTGAAAGAAAACCTCACAGCACAGCACCATGTACAGAGGGGCTGAGAAGACAGGGCTGAGGAGCCTCAGAGACTGCCTGGCGCCTGCTCCTTGATTCCCCAGGGACACTCCGGCAGTGTATGCCTGACACCAGATGCTCCACACAGTCTGACAGTCCCAGGAAACCTCCTGGTCCTCACCTCCCGGCAGACAGGCCATGTACTCCCCACAGACAAACCCACCCAACTGGAAGAGCTAATGGTCTTTGTCACACAAAGGGTTTCGAGAATGTGATACTTGTGGTTGTTGATGGTAAAATCGTGATCACCTCAAAAGGCAATTGGACAATTGAAGAGAACAATACAGACGGTTATATTATGTTTCTCTCCCATTGTCCCGGCCGACAATCCCCCAGAAAAATCAGGTCATTCACTTTATGGCTGTTTGTTGGATGTCGCTGTGCACAAATTGGCTGCCACAGTCACTACACAGGAAAAATCCTGTGATGCGCTTTGATACGTCTGCCCTTTGTGGATTGGGACATTACACCAAATGCAAGGATTATTTATTATTATATTATTATTAGTGGAGGCCTGTAGCATAACGATTAGAACACTTGCCCCGCAAACGAAAAGACCTGTGTTCGATTCCCAGGCAAGGCAAAACATTAGGCAAATTTCCTCACTCCACACTCCTGTTTACCTAGCAGTCAGTAGGAACCCAGTTGTTAGCCGATTGACGGACTACTTTCCGGAGGTAGTAATCCTTTCAAATAACTAAATAAATTGGTCATTCAATCCATAACAGTTTGTGGGACACTGCTGTGTGCAATTGGCTGCTGTGTTTTGCCCACAAACTATATAGTCAATTCACTTTACAGTACATTCTGTGAAGAGCTTTGAGATGTCTCTTCGATGTGATAAGGCGCTGTATAAAATCCAAGGATTATTATTATAATAAGTCTACATTAAAACCTCCCGCACTGCTCGTAGCCCTCAGACCAACTCAGCTCAAACTAAGGCACAGACTGAAACTTTTCCCAAGGTCACTTTTCACACCAAACATCTGTTCAGTTGTTGTCTGTAATTTCAGCGTGCTTTAATAGAGCCATAAAGGAAGTTAAATTTGAACATAAAGCCTGCTTTTAATTGCCAGCACTTTATGGGGACTCTTTCGAGTGACCTTCAACAGAGACATTTCAGGTACTTTTTGTTTTTATCGGGAATTTAATGCTCCATGTTGGCCCGAGAGGTTGTGGATACCAGGAATGAACCTCTAAGTCACTTTCGGTGGCTGTTTCTTAGGTGTTATTTCCTCTCCACAGCTCGGTTAGAAAGAAATAGCAAAGAACTTGTGTTTTCATAGCACCTGTCACCTCAAAACCCCTCAAAAGTGGTTACTGTCAAGTTTGCTGTCTTGTATTTGTAGGTGGCTATTTTCAAACTAATCCTGGCATTTGATGCAGCGCCTTATCACATGGAAGAGACGTCTCGAAGCGCTTTACAGGATTTTTACTGTGAAGTGTAGTGACTTTGGTTTTGTAGGCAGACGCGGCAGCCAATTTGCACACAGTAATGTCTCACAGATAGCCATGAAGTGAATGAGCAGTAATATTTGGAGGATTGTCGGCCAGGAAACCAAGAGAAAGTAATTCCCTTCTCTTTTCAAATAGTACTGCGGGATCTTTAATATCCACCTGAATAGGCACAGACGGGACCTCAGTTTAATGTCTGGTCCGAAGGTTGAATAATCAAAGGAAACTCCCCCCTACAGTCCGCCCTTTACACTGTCGGGCTGCTTCTTAACCGAGTCCAATGTCCTGGCTTCAACTACCCTGACAATCCCATCCATCCCAGTTGCTAATTCCCCTCTGTGTAATATTGTGTTACAATAACAGAAATATTCCCCTGAAGTTGCCCCTCACGTCTTTCAACCTCCGCCCTCTTGACCTGCTGCCTCGCTGTCTCTGAAAGTATTGTTACTTCCATTCCCATTTAGCATCGTATATACAGTACCTCTATAAGCCCTCACTCAGAGCTGCCCTACGAATACCACCAACCTGCCCGCTCCCTCTGATCGGCAGGCACTGGCCTGCTCCGTGCCCCCTGCCTTGCTCGTCCCACCATAGGAGGTCAGACTTTTAGCTTTTCTGCCCCCACCATGTCGGAAACCCTCCGTCTCGCCCTCTCCCTTGTCTCCATCAAGGACTATCTCAAGACCTTCCTCTTTCAGCCACACTCCCATCCCTCAAACCCTCCACCTTCTTAATTCCAACCCCCGGCTCAGGTGCAAACCCTGAACTGTGTAGCGCCTTGAGACGTCCTTCCAACGTGAAAGCCGATGTATAAGTGTAATTTTGTTGTTGGTGTTGTTACCCGGATCAGCGTGTCTATGTGTAAGCGCTCTGGGATACCACCCTGCATAAGGGGCGCTGTATAAATGCAAGTTGTTGTAGTTATTGTTGTAAGAGTCAATCCCCCCTCCCTTGCCTCCTTCAAGGACCGTCTGAAGACTTTCCTCTTTGATCGTGCTTTCAGCCACACTCCCCAATCAGGTTCCAGCCAGAGTTGTGCTGCCAGTTTGCTCCTCGTGTCTGTTCCACCAGATAAAAAATGCCGAGGACATCACAGCATCTGTCCTCCTGGCATTCGCGCATAAAGATAGTGCTGTCAACTTAACGTACGGGCTTGGCCGGGAAGCCACAATCATCGATCTTGCTCGATCACTGCGAGATTGTGGCATTTTCATGATTAAAAAGAATTCTCCTGTTTGCTCAGCAGCTGCCGTGATCTCGGCCATCACGAGTCAACTGTGACACCCTGACTGCAGCAGTCCAGGGGCTGTGGTTGTGCAAAGCGTTGGGGTTGGGAGAAGGGGAGGTGTGGGCAGGGGCTTGGGACGGGTTAAGGAGTATCCGAGTTCAGCCTGGTTATAGTGCCATCTGCTGGCACGTCTCACCCGCAAACTACACAGTCAATTCACTTCGCAGTATATTCTGGGAAGCGCTTTGAGACGTCTCGAAGACGTGGTAAGGCACTATATCAAATGCAAGGATTATTAATATTATTATTAATGGTCACGCATTATTCCTCCTCGGGGTTTTTTTTGGTCCGTCAGGTGTCTGACACATGCGGAAACCCATTACCTGCTTAAGAGAATCCAAACCAGGCTGAGAATTCCATCCATCCCACCTACACGTGGAAATCCCAGAGATAGGTTGTTGGAATGGAATGTGCGCACTCTCTCTCTCTCTGGAGGGACACATCCTGTTTACCTAATTCCAAAAAGTATTAGGCGCAGGTTGGCAAGAGCCAAGGGTTGGGGGAACCCAGAGTGTAGGCATTGGGGTGACTGCTGGAGTCTAACCAGCTAAATTCCTCTCCGAAGATGGGGGAAAGATTATATCTAACGAGGAATCTTTTTAGTTATTTCGGCCTTCAAGTGAGATGTTAAACTGAGGTCCCCGACTATGTCTGTTCAGGTGGATGTTAAAGATCACGTCTTCTAGACGTCTCAAAGCGTTTCACAGAATATACTGTAAAGTGAATTGACTGTATATTTGTGGGCGAAACACGGCAGCCAATTGCACTCAGCAGCGTCCCACAAACAGTCATGGGTTGAGCGACCATTATTATTGTTTTTTAATCGACTAACAACTGGGTTCCTACCTACTGTTAGGTAAACAGAGGAGTAAGAAAACTTGCCCAACGTTTCGCCCTGTCGGGAATAGAACCCAGGTCTCTCGCTTGCAGGCGAGCGCTCTAACCACCGAGCTACAGGACTCCTGCTACAGGTTCAGACTGAATTGAAAAATTGTCCACCTGACCCAATGCGAAATACTCAGACCTTCTGAGATGAGCGACTGTCTTGAGAGTCTCGTCCATTGCAGGCAGGACGTCTGATGGCTTATCACAGACACGCTCAGTGGGAGGCTCTCTCCTGATGAGAAACACACAGTTACCATGCCTACACTCCCGGAGCTGAATCAATTCATTGTGATTTCTGCCAAATCTAACGCTTCATTGCAAGAGGCCCCGTAGCTTGGTAATAAACTGCACGGCCTCAGGTTTGTGACGACAGAAGGAGACATCAGATAACAAGCGCGGGTGGGGGGAACGGGGGAGGAATGAAGCATAACAGAATAAAAGCTCAGAGACTAAATATTTACCTTATAGTGTATACATCTGGAGATGGGCTGTAATTGCATTATAAATCGTGTGAACTGCTTTGTGACGTCCTCCCGAAGTGAAAGGCGCTTATATAAATGTGAATTGCATTGTATTGTAGAATTCAAAGGCCCAAACTTCAACCGAGTCTTAGCCTTAAGACGAAAGATCCTGCAGAATTGAGGAAAATTCTTCAACTCAGCTGTGCTTTTGGAATCCTGTTTTCCACAATTCTGCTGAGAGATCAGTCTGTCATTCCTCCCCCTGTTTGTTCTCTGATGCCTCCTACAGTCATAGCAAACCCGGCGATCTTACAGTTAAATGCACTGAATTTCAGAATTTGACACAATTCAACACAGTCTTAAATGTAAAGGCTAAAACTGGGTAGAATTTTGTTTCTCTTAGAAACATAGACGTTTTCAGCACAGAAGGCAAAAGTCCAGCTTATTGTGTTGGTGACAGCTGTGTGCAAATTGGCCCTTGCTTTCACCTACAAAATACACAGACTTTACATCCTGTGAAGCCAATTCTGTGTCAGTGATGACAAGTAACACAATGTCAGTGTCTGTGATTACAGATTTAAAGGGCCGAATGGCCTCTTTCTTTGCCGTAACTAGCTTCTAGGATTCCAGTTGAGGGCTGTCAATCTCTTCCAGACTCGAGAAGGAGCTCGATCTGCTCGAGAATGGAGACACTGCGATGTCCAAAGAAAACAGCATTGAAGACAAGCTTAAAGATGAGGAAAAGGTCGGTACGAGATGAAGGTGACGATTCACCCAGTGGTAATAAAGTGATGAGCGACTCTGGCCGAATTCGGTGCCTTAAGTAGTTTGTGACCATTTTGAGTGGGAGACATTGGCTCTTGTGGCTTTTGACACGTGGCTTTTGTTCCCGACACGATTGTCAAGTGGACCCTTATTATGCTCAGGGCACAGGAAGTGACAGCCCAATGTCATGCCCATGATCAAGTCAGCCATTTTGTTTAGCGAGAGGGAACTGGTAGCAAGTCGGCTGGCACAGTGAAACCGGCCAACACAGACCGTGTTACATAGAGGGTACAGCGCGGGGAAATTAGATTATTAGAGGAATTGGACGCCAGGAGCACACAGAAAGCCCATGGTTATGGATAAAACTGGAGCCTAATTAAGATGTTCAAAAACATTGACTCCAGCTCAGAAGTGGGAAAGTGAGTAAACATTTCAGATTTAGTTACTGGGTGAATGTGCAAGGGTCGATTTAAGGACATATACCAGGAGGTGTTTGAAAAGTTGGGAATGATTTGATCAGCGGCTTTGGTGATATCATTAACATGATATTTATGTCTCTTTTATTCTAGGTTCCCGCAGGCAAGGATAGTGGTAAGTATTTGTCGGTGTGCAAACTCTTGGGTTTCTGAATTGATGTGTGTGTTGGTACAGCTTTATTAGCTGTGAGAATCAGCACAGAGTCTTTCTAGGCATCTCACCCCCTACCCCAAAACTGCCCCCACAAGTCATGACCTTCGAACTTCAAACTTCCAAAGCGTTGAGTCGGTTGGTGGAGAATGGGGTGTGGCTCAACCAACTCCGTTTCCCAATGTGTCGTGCCGCTTTCACACAATTAGTCTGTCTCTGGAGGTAACCAGTGGTGAACAGTGGTCAGGATTCCAGGCTCCCGATCTGTTCAGACCCCACACTAGAGTCTCCCTTTCACTTTCCATTTCTATTCCTCACTGTAGCTCTAACAGGTAACCAGTGATTTTTTCCATTGTATATTTTTACCGATAGAATAGAAAGGTTGTTGCCTCTGTCCAGCATAAACACTCACTCCCACATATAAGATCTCTGAAATGTATCAACCAAAGTTAAGCGTGGTTCTTTGCATATATTCCACAGAGTTTTCTCCTCAAACAATCAAATCTCACAGACGGTCAGCGCCCATATCAATGCCCCATTTTGTAAATAAACTGTACATTCTTCTACATGTTAAACTTTTATCATTCTGAAGGAGAGCTTTATTAGCAGTGACAGTCAACACATTCTTTCGGGACAACCGCACCCAAAGTCATGACCTTGAACTTCACCATTGATGCCCTTTGAACCTTGCAAGCAATGACTGAGCCCATTCTCCTGTCCCCAAACCCAGCAGATGTTTTGAAAATGTGTCTGTTATTGAATGGAGCCTCACTCCATCCTCGTTTAACTCAGTCTTTGCTTCTACTTCTTTCCAGAGGTCACAAAGAGCCAGGGCAGCCCAATGCCAAATAAACCTCATGGAGAAACAGAGAAGTTGAAGGCCGGTAAGGACCCGAAGTTACTAATGGGGTAACGTTTGTAGGCAAGGTCTCCAAGTTTGACACTAAATGGAGTAATAAACCCTCAAAAAAAATGTGGTCGAGCAATCCAGGACTTAGGGACATTGCTGTGCACAATTGGCTGCCGCATTTCACCCATAGAATAAACGTATTCGCTTTGAGACATCTCAATTATATAAGGCGCTATATCAAATGCAAGGATTATTATTAAAGGTTATTTTATGGCAATGGTGAACATGGATTTTGACTCTCTTCAACAAATTGACCTTAAAAAAAATCTATTGAAAAAATCTCAATGTCCAAAATATTTGGTGGTCAAGTGTCAGGTAGCACTCTTAGCTCTGAATCAGATGGTTGTGGGTTCAAGTCCCACAACAGGATCTTGACCTCACAGTCTCGGCTGACATTCCAATGTAATACTGGGGGAGCAACGCATTGTCAGATGAGTTATACTAAGGTCCCGTCGTATGCTCAGGTGGATGTTAAAGGTCCCGTGCCACTCTTCAAAAAGAAAAGGGAGTTACTCCCGGTGTCCTGGTCAACAATAAAATTGGTCATTCACTTCATGGCTGTTTGTGGGATGTTGCCATACACAAAATTGGCTGTCGAGTTCACCTACAAAATACACAGTCACTACACATTACAGTAAAATATCTTGTGAAGCGCTTTGAGACGTCTCGCCAACGTGATAGTATCAAATATGTAGGCAATAGCAAATGCAAGGAATATTATAGTTTCTTTCAAGAACAAATTAGATGGATTTCCATTAGGAAATACAGTATATAGTTTGGGACATGTCATGTGCATGGGACTGCCAGGATGGTGGAAGGCAAACTGAATGGACCTTGGTCTTCGTTCATCTAGCAATTCTTATGTTTTTATTATCATTGCCAGTGTAATAGGCAAGTTTTGGAGGTTTGAATGTACAGTCCCATAGTAACCTTGAGCTCTTCCCTTGACCAGCGATGTTTGCCATGGAGATCACTGTGGAGAAGGACAACATAACGGGGGAGACAAAGATCCTGTCCAGCACGCCCGTGACTCCCAAAGACCTCGCACAACGCGGGGTCAAAGTATATGAGGATGACCTGAAAGTGGTGCACGAGGTGTGTAAAGGTGATGGAGCCATGGAGAACGGAGTTCATCAGCTGAGCACCACCGAGGTCAATGCCCTGATACAGAAAGCCGACGAGGTAACAGACTCCAGCAGAGCGAGTGGCCTCCTTGAGGGCAAAGTACCCTCTGCTCAGCAACAGACGACCCCAGGAAAGCTAAGGGCGGATGGAACAGCCGGAGGGAGCCTTCGAAGCCTAGAGAAAGGAGCAGGAGATGGCACTGAGCCCTGCAAAGAGCAGCCCGTGACCATGATCTTTCTCGGTTACCAAGACGTGGAGGATGAGAACGAGACTAAAAAGGTCCTGGGGTACGAGGGAACGGGGAAAGCAGAACTGGTGGTGATTGAGGATATTGAGAGCAAGAACGAGAAGGCGTCTGGGGACCAGGCACCTCCCAACGGCGCTCCCGCCGAGCCTGCAGCCCAGACACAGCCCGGTGACACCAAGGAGAAGGCGGATGGCGTGGGGAAGGAACCGGAAGGTGATGGCAAGGATCTGAAGGAGAAACAGCGTTGCCAGTGCTGCATTGTGATGTGATCTCGTGCTGCCCGCCCCCACCCCCCACCCCAAACTCCCTCTTGTTGTACAGTTGGAATGTTGTATGTTCATAGTCTTCAGATGCACCATATTGTCTTCTACCGATAACACTCATTTTAATTAGGGATGCAAAGGAGCCCAAAGCGATCCCGAGCAAAAGGGGGACATTTTATTATAGGAATTTCAGCCACGCTTACATAGCTGAAAGCTGATTGGCTTGAAGGGTATCCTAAACACCTTGACTGACTTTCTCTTGAGCTCTATGCAGGCTACCTTATGATGTCGTCATGATGCTTTGATATCAACCGCAAGCAGTTCCAGGCACAACAGGGTAAAGTGGTCCAGGCTCCAGGGTAAGGTGTTCCAGGCACTGTGGTGAGGTTTACAGTGTTTAGACTTTACCCCAATGGGGGATAACTATCCCCGAGAACTAACCCCTTGATAAAACAAGGCGGGAATGAAAATAGAAGCTAGTCTTTTAACCTGTCCTTTCAATTCTCAGCAAAGCTCCTACAAAGTCGTGAAGCACTATAAAAACACGGTTCCAGTTTCTCCAATTGCTTCCCCAGTCCTCATAAGAGCAGAATTAGACACAAATATCAAGCCTTTTGTACCAGGTCATGTGGATTTCCTGAATCTCCACATCAGCATATCACAGTCGCCTTCTCCCATCCAACTCTTGTTTCTTAACCATTGGACCATAGACTCTAATTCTTCCACTCTATGGTAATATATGATGCCTCCAATGTTAGACAAACCCTATGTGCTGTGTTCACTATTTCAGTGCTTCTCAGAGTGAGCCTGGTCCTCCTTCCCCAGATGTGGTAACTCCATGACCTCCATCTGGTTGAAAACCCTCTGAAATGGACCAAGAAACTTTTTTTATATTCAAAATGTTCTAACATCTAATTCCTATACTGTTCTCGTCCACAAGCCTTCAGAACTTCGACCATCTCAATCTCTTGTACTAGTGTTTCTCACCCTTTATCATTATCAGGAACAGGCTCCGTTTCTTCTTAAAATGTGGCCGGTCATTCGGAAATGAGCCTGTCAGGTCACTCAATCTAAAGGGATCTCCTGTATGGACAGGCCATGAGGTTGTCACAAACCTCGAATTGCTTGGTGATAAATACTCTACACTTGTTTAGTCAAATCAAACTCTGTCACATTTTCAACAGCATTTTCTTCTCGCATAGAGCAATAAGAATCTGGAACACATTGCCCCTGGAAGCTACAGATAACAAATCAATCGAGGGATGTAAGAGAGAGATACAATAGATACTTGGGGGATAACGTTATTAAGGGGACCTATGGGGAGAAAGTCTATCTGGGTCTAGATTTACTTTATTTTCTTCACATCTTTGAAGCCGTTTTTCTGTAGTTTCTTAGAAAAACAAACGGCTTCAGACTTAAGGCTGTATTTACAAAATCTGCCAAATTCTGGATGTTCTGAAACACCAAGAAAATTAAGTAAATCTAGAGGCAGGTGGAATTTATACCCAATGGTGAAGAAGTGGGATGAGGGGAGAGAACTTTGAGTGGTCTTTGGTGGAGCAAAGGAACATAGGGACAGGAGTAGGCCATTCAGCTCCTTAAGTCTGTTCCGCCATTCTATTAGGAACAGGCTCAATGGGCCAAAATAGCGTCCTTCTGTTGCTAATTTTCTCTATTCATATGGGATCCCAATAGTTCCATCAACACTGAAGGGAACCTTGAACATAGATGTACTCTCGGCAATAAAGGAGCTTGCATCTCTGCCCTGGCTGGAGATAGTTGGGACCACCGCAAGTGAGCATAGCCATGGAGCTGACGAGCATTTGCCTGAAGAAATAGTCTGAACTCTTTGGATTATCAGAACCTTTGCATCCCTAATTTGAACACACTTTTATAAAATCACACTAAAGCACCGATACTATTGAGCCAGATCAGCGTATCCTACACACTGCCAGTTGCCATGCACTACTCTCAATATGTACGTCGCGATACAATGGGACCATTTTATTTCCGTCTGTGCATGTTCGAAAGTTTCAAACCCCAGGGCAGAGCTTTGTGAAAGCGGGTGGGCAACTTTTTGGGGGGAGGGTGGTGGGAGGGGGATTAGCTTTACATGCAAAAATTGCTCCAATCAAACTGTGTTCTGCCTTATGTGCACCGTGTGACGAAACCATTCTCGAAGTCTTAGCCTTTAGTCCGTTGTACTCAAATTTAAGGTTGTTTGGGATTTTAGGTAAACTTTTCAATTCAGTCTTATCTTGGAAACCAGTTTGTCAATGTAATACTGAATTCAAATACACCCTGTTAGCTATAGCATCCTTCAAAGTAATGCTGTCTCACTTACACTTGGTAAGATTCATATGCGCTTCACAAAGGAAGTGATGTTAGCAGTGACCCCACAACCTGGAATTCTGCCATTTTTTCGTGCCTCACTAATAACTTCCAATCATGTTAAAGCAGTGTTTTCCTGTATTTTCCAAATTTCTGTACAATCTTAAATTCAGGACGATAGCTTTAAGGATAAGACCGTGAGATATTTGGGGTCAACTGAATGTTAGCCTGGTTTGGATACAAATCAGATCAAATCCAAACCAGCTATTAATTCAGATTGTAGTCAGGTAAATGCATTACTGAATGATCTGCCATTAATCCTTAGTAATTCCTGACTCACTGTGAATCAAATCCAGAATGAATCTGGATTGTGTAAGTGCCAGTGTTTGGCCTGAATGAAAATGCTCTTAGAACGAGGAGTGCAATGAATATCACAGATCACACTGTTCTTGATTTAAGTCATCTTTGTCTGCGTATATGTGTATGTGTATGAGAGAGCGAAAAACTCGCGCGTTTAATCTCTCGTGTAAATGGGTCCTTAATTTATTTGATTCTGTAGCGATTCTCGACATGCAGTACCAAAGACGCTATGAAATGACACCAGTACGAAGGTTACATTCCTTGTCGATTAGTAAGTTTAATGGCAGGTTTATTGAAATGAACGAGACAATCAAATTGCCCTTTAAACCTTTAAACCATTACCCCACCACCAACCCTCCCATTTACTGCCCTGTTGAGAACGGTCATCCTTGACTAGCATCCATTTGTAGCGTTAAACACATTGCCTCTGGATTGACGTTAATCTACATTTAGATTTTCCTTCAGGGTGAACAATTTAATACTACCTTCTCCCCCACCACCCCTCCTCCTTAATCCATTGCACCACTGAGCATGCCATTAGAAATAATAAAGTAGTCCCGTTTTATTCAATCACATTCCGAGGGCCTGAGCCACTACATTCTCGCAATAGATTCCCAGGTGTAGCACATGCATAAGCAGAGAGTGCATTTAACATAACTTGGCATGCGCTGTGCCTATGGATGTGTCATGCTTCTGAATTTCTGCGACTGGGCTCCAGCACTCCATGCCTGGAAGTCCAACGTTGTATCCGAGTGCAGAATCTCTTCACATCATAGTAAATTAGACTTTATAACTAGCTGTGTTTCTCTGTTGTTTGGCACTGGTATGCGTTTGTGACATAAAGAGATGAAAGCCCTTACCGATTTATCCTATCTTATTATCCTATTCCAAAATCCTATAGCATATCAATAGATTCTTTTAAGGATTTTATTAACAAAACACCAAATGGCTGTATTTTAACAAACAAGAAAACGTCCAACAGATCAAAAGGATTCTTAGCGCTTAACCATCGTGGTGTGTGTACAGATTTTACGTTGCAGGTTGTTAAGAGATTAGCTTAATTGAAGAAAAAAATTGCTCTTTTTTAAAAAAATATTGTCAGCTCCCTTAAAACGATGAGAACTTTGGTAAGAAAATGTATCGCATATATTTTTGTTACGACGCCTTTAAGTTGTGATGTGTGCATAACAAATATCTGTACACCTTAGTTTGGCAGCCTGATGTGTCCAAATGCTTACTTTGAAAAAAAAATATGGTCTAAGGACTCCTGTAGGACAAATTATAAATGCTGTAGGATTTTGTTATATATTACAGAATCTAAACAAATCCAATGGATGAGTTCAACACCTACAGAAGGTTTTTTTTGTAAGGGGAGTTGTTCACGATATGGAGCACAGACACTTTCTCTTTGGAGCATGGAGGACAATGCAGTAAAGTGTTAGGATGCTAGGATTACCTACATGACCAATATAGGCAACACCAGCTACATGTTCCCCTGTGTCTAATCCACACGATACTTGATAAGTGACAGTCTTGTCTCCTTCACAGTAAAAAGCCAAGGTGGAACATCCTGAACACCACTGTATTTTAACTTAAGAACAATTAACAGAGCAGCTTGAAAGATGGCAGAGACCTCAGAAAAAGTCTCCTAGGTTTAGCCACAAAACCATTATCTACGAGTTTAAGATCAAGCAGGAATTTGCAAAATCCTTTCAGTTCAGTCTTCTCCTTTTAAAAAAAAACTGCAGAATCTGGCATCCAAAGTGAGACTGAATTGAAACTTTTTTGCCCCAAATTTCACGATAGTGGACTTAAAGCCGAGACTCAGAGAAATTCTGGGTTGCTGGTTGCCTCAGATCACAGTCTATGAGCATTTTGTAGTACATTAACACAGCTCGTCCTGTACAAGAACATCCTAATACGACAAATGTAAAAGAAAACTCCATAGTCCACTATGCTCTTAAGGGATGTTGTCTGTGTTTGCCTGTTTAGAACAATCTGGAGTTTAATTTGCAAAAATGTATAGCAATCAAAAATAAAATCTAGATGTGGTTAAAACAAACCTTAATGTGATTAAATCCTAGGAATATGAATCAATGGTAATTCACTTGTGCTTTGTCAACATGTTCTGCACTGTTCTTGCACTGATTTTTACAATCAATGTAAACTTAAAAGGGGCATCTACAAGGCCACCTTCTCAAGGTATATAAGACATTAAAGTGGGATTGAGAAAATAAACCAAGAACATTGCTCTGCTAAGGTAGCAGGAAAGAGGGCACAGATTCAGGGTTGTGAAGAGTAATTTTAATATCGACACCAGGAAGTTTTTTTTATTAATGCAGAGGAGGATTAAAACCTGGCTGGAGCATCAGGGAGTGTGGTTCAGACTGAGAAGCTACAGTTTGATGCAATAGTGGAAAGATGGTAATGTAGACATTTTGGAAGTTTGAAAATCACAAGGGCTTTTTCTATAAGAACCTCTCCTGATCTCTTTTTATTGGTTTCATTGGGCTCCACCATGACCTTTGCCTTATCTTTCATTTAATAAATAATATACATTCACTCCACTTTAAAGTAATATCCTGTGAAGCACTTTGAGGGTCTCTACAACGTGATAAGGCACTACATCAAATGCAAGGATTATTATTTGTTGCTTTTGCACCAATTAAACATTCCCTATTCCTCCTAATCTCTACAATCTCTTCTGGTGTCCGCCTGCATGGTTACTTACTCTCCCACACATTACCAGAAATCTCTTGCAACTTTCACTGGCCAGTGATCAGTGGATTTCGGGGTTAGTTGGCATCGGTTATTGTGTAATTACCAATTCTGTCATGGGTTGCTGAAGGGTCATATTTTGATTGTGATTATTTGGATAATTTCATCTGTTTTCCCTCATTTTCTCTTTCCAGTTGACTATTTGATGAAGACTGGATTCTTCACAGCTTTCAGCTACAATGGTTAGTTTACATGTTTTTTTTTTCCCCTCGGCATTCTTAAATGTCAGCGAGGTGAGCAAATAGGGTGAGAAATGGGATTTCATAAGTTAACCGAAAGGGGGGGAAAAAATCGTTGTAGTCAGGTATAAACATGGCAGTAATTACAGGTGGTTATACCTGAAGCTAGTTCAATTATAGTAAGAAATTCTGCTTCAATTTAACTAGATTCATAATCTTACAGCATATGCCAATATATTCATTGTTATCCTGGTGTATAGTGATAGCTTTAAATAGAAGCAAGGTGCCTAAAATTTAAGTTTGGGCTAAGTTTTCAAGTGCCATTTATAACATGCAAAACACTTACATTATTTTGTTGCTCTTTGTTTTTAAGCAAAGGCCTTTCTAATCTGATGTATCCTGGCTAAGAGATAGCTGGAAGCAAAGATCAGGAAGCTCTATAGTCAATTTCTGAGCCATTCAAGGTGGATTCTCTTAGCTGCACACACAAAAAAAAAATCATTCTGCTCTTTGAAGTAAAAACAATCTCTTCTGATTTCCCTGCTATGGCTTGGGAATTAACACCACTATACATTTAGTAGTCCTGGAGTGGAATGTGTAAAGTATTGAACTCCATCTAGTGGCAAGTGCCAGCTGGAGATTGAGTTGAATAACACTTCCTTTTAGGAAAGGAAAACTAAGTGACTAATGCAGAGCTCACTGACTCTGAAATCTGGGCAGTGCTTGGTACATATGTATATTTGACTTAAGAACATTAGTCACTTGAAACCTCCACTGTGAAAGCCGAGCTCGGTCTACCCATTTCCTCAATACAACTCAAAGGAATTAGTGGACAGGTGCACCATTCAGTTTAGAATATTGAGACTACAAATAAGAAAATTGGTCAAAGTTGACATTAACACATCTTTATAAAAAGTTGTTAAATATTTCTCATTTGTTTTGAAGTAAAATACAACATTAACAGCAACTCATCTTATAACAACCATTTTTTTTAAAGTCTGTTTAAGACTTGGCACAAGCTTAATTTCCATCAAAATACAGAAAGAGTCTGAAGTAGAGAATACACCGCCAGTAGCTCAAGTTGACTTCTCAGAGGGACCACAAAAACATCTCATTTGAAAGATGCACAAGATCATAGGATTGAAACATGGAGAAAGTGCCTTAAGAGGTAGATCATAGGAAGCACTGAAGTGTCTGGAATGAGGGACTGTACTATATTTACATGCACAATAGAATGTCAGAATGTTAAAACTTTACCCAAGAAGGAACTTAACATTTGGTTATCTATCATCTTCCTCTATAAGGCAGCCATGTTGGGATGCGCAACAAGACATTGATCTATGTGCAACAACACAAATGGAATGGAGCTTGTGCAAGGCAGCTGTTTTGTACTTTGCCGGTTTTCCCCTCTATCTAGCTCTCAAAAGGGATCAGAATAGATGGCAGCCAACACATACTTACACTTGGAACCTCAAATAATTCTAAAGTGCATAGTTAACAGTCAGCAATCAAGTTGATTTGCAATAACCACTGCACATTCACGAGTGATTTGCTAGAGTTGATGTACAAAGGGACAGCACCCAATCCCCTTCAAAAACACTTAGCTACTGGTTCTCAAGAACAGATTGAAACCTTCAAATTACAGCTTGAACAATCCCAATTTAATTAAGTGGTAGTTCAAAGGAACTGATGGCAACCTCACCCAACATCAGATCATCTTACCATCAGTGCTTCAAGATCAAGGAGCTTCACTGTAAAGTCCTTAACTTGGAGTATTGTCCAGAAACCTTGTGCCATACTCTTAATGTGTATTAAGTAGCACCAGCTAATGCTCAGTCATAGGGTCCAGATGGATACTCTGTTAAGCAGCCCTTCAAGGCGTTACTCTGTGACGTTCCATGAATATTGTCTTAAGTGGTCAATAGTGGTCACATTTTCAAGAATAGCCTCATTTTGCCCCATTCTGTGATGTGTATTCTTTGGAGTATTCCCCATTCAGCAACTTGTAGTCATTGAGTTTTTGGCTTTCTGAGTACAAACAATAATGCTGGACCATGAACACAATATCAAATGACATGGAGATTAAGCCAAGCCCAAACTTGGTTATGTCTCCAAATATTAGCATCCACTCTTCTGTAATAAAGCAGACAGTTGAGAGATTAAATACATGGCAATCCTGTGGAATTATACACAGCATCATTACCAAGTGAAACCAACTCTGACCCAGAGAAGTTAGGACCAAGAATGTCAGGCAGTCGGCCTGGAATAATCCTGTCTTCTTAACTATCTGGTTGAAATTCCCACTCCTGCCAACAGGTGCTACAGATCATACATCAACTTTCTTCCTGTGCTCAACACTGATAGATATAACTGCTGAGAAAGGAATAAGAAAAAGCGAGTTCAGAATGGAGTGGTACTATCTGCATCATTAAAATCTACAGTCACAATAGTTCATCTCTACTCTGCAACAGATAGGTGGGGAGGGACGTGGCCTTTATATAAGGGTTCATTAGTATGTTTCCTATCTGTGTCTGGGCTGTTCCAGGATTCAACAGCTTGGACTGTACTGAAAGAACAAAAACCTATCTAAAGGATTGAGCTCACAAAGCTGATAGAGTTCAACGAAAGACTCAAACTATACTATCAACATACCATTGTTGTATGACTGTAGTAGCATTTGCAGAAGACTGAAAATGCCTCCAGAAAAGTCCAGCAGCACATTCCCAATGCACCAACCGCTGGTGCTCTTTCGTTGATAGTTCAGATAGACCTGAAAGAGAAATGTAGCGACTGCAAACAGAACATCCAATGCAAGCTGTCATTACTGTCATCCATTTTGAAATGATTTGGAATTTGGTGGGATATGGGAGTCAGATTAGTCAAGTGGGAACTTCACTTTCGATTGTTCTTTGGTTGGAAGAAAACAGATTGATGGAAGTGGGATCATTACCATTGTCCTCAGCCACACAATATTGGACAAATAGTTGAGGCTAGTTATTTCTACTTTACTACTCAGAAGAAACTGGGCTCTTTGACCATTTTTAAAAGCTTAACTAGTCATTTGCTGAGGAAAGTAACATTTTGTTGTCCAATACATAGAACAGCAAGGACGACAAATAATCCATTAAAATAGTCAAGGATATAGTGGGACTTCCAGTTGGCCAAATTATAATCTAGAGAGATTGGCATATTTTGCCCCTATAGAAAGATATGGTTGGATTGACTGGTATAGGCAGGCATATTTATATACTATAGTTAGCTCACAGCAAGAGAATCTACAAATCTAGTCACACTAAGTTACTGCAGGCAAACCCTAACTTTTACCTGAGGAATGTATTTGACGACTGTGACAGCCAGTTTGATGTAAGAGAAGTAGTAAAGATATTGGAGCCACATCAGTTGACCAGCAATAGTCACAATCAATGTGATGAGAGCAAATAGCCAGGCACTTATCAACATTCCAGCCGCAGGCAGCGACACTCTCTGCATCCCTCTCTGTTACAAGAGAAATACAATGAGAATTGCTTCCTTAAATAAAATCTACAAAGTTATGTAGCATAAGAGCATCAAACCTGACCTCATAGACACAGCACTGCCAGGTGGTAAAGGACATAATCAAGGTGGCATGGATGCTGAAGAAAACATCATTGGCTTCCACTGGGTTGACACCATTTGGGTGAATCTCTATGTATTGTGCCTAGAGGGGAGAGAGTAGTTACAACTTGATTATAGGTTGTTATTTGTGAGTCAAGGGTTTACTTTCCATCAATAGCCAAGTCAGCAATTCTACTAAGATTGGAATTACATAGAATATGCAGCACAAAAACAAGCTATTCAGCCCAACTGGTCTATGCTGGTGTTTATGGTCCACATGAGCCTCCTCCTTCCCTAACTAAGCCTATCAGCATAACCTTTTATTCCTTTCTCCCTCGTGTACTTATCTAGCTTCCCCTTAAATTCATTTATGCTATGATACATAGCTTGCTTCTTTAATATAATTAATTAAGTAACAGAACTGTGCTCAAGCATAGAATTCAATGATATGTACACTTTCTTCAATGCTATGCATCTATTTGTGGATTTTGTGGCCTCTGAACTATTGGCATTTGGTTTAATTATGTTTAAACAGTTGTCAATTAAGGATGGGTGCCCATTTGGTTTAATGTTAAGAACATCTGAAATTTTTGTGCTTACCATACAACAGATCTAGTTTAAAAAATATATACAAAAATGCTCTGAGACGCTACCCCACATGAAAGGCGCTATACAACAACAAAATACATTTGTATAGCGTTTTTCATGGGAGGACGCTGGACAGACAATTATAAATGCAAGTTATGCAGTATATATCCCTTTTCATTAAGGATTACCTTAATGTACGGAACGCAGAAGAGACAAATGTTGAAGACTCCATACGCAATGTGACCAGTCAGATTCAGAGCTAAAAAGTCAAAACTCAATCCAACAACACTGCAAGAGAGAAAACGGTTTGAACAGTCTACATTACTGATCATAGTATTAAATGATACGTTCCACACAAAACATTTAGTCAATCCACTTTGCAATATTTTCTGTGAAGTACTTCAAGGCGTCTCATTGATGTGATACAGCATTACATCAAATGCAAGATTATTAAATTCATAGAATTCTCACTAAAGGACTGGCATCAAATGTTTTAGGAAAAAAAATTGTCTAAAGGCCGGTTAAGATTTCTGGGCAATTCCGCATGCGGCGAGTCATTCCCATCGATGACTGGATGAAACGGTCACTCCAAAGGCTTGGTGGCCTTCAGGTAACCAATTAAGAGTTTGGGTAAGTGCATTGTTAGAATGCCCATTGGCATCATGAACTTGGGCTGCAGTGCATTATTGGTGTACACGAACGCAATAGATAAGTGCATAAATAAGCACCAGTCAATCCCTGAATTTATTACTGACATGCAGAGAATCAGCTCAAGTCTAGGTACCTGGGCTTTTATAGAAACATTAAATGAACAGTCAGTAAACAAGCTCTTGGATTGCAATACTATTGAGTATGCGAGGGTGACTTCCAACTTGTGCAAGACAAGTTTATAAGGAAGTTCACAAATTAGCCAGAGCAACACCAGCCAATTTCCCTTCTCATCTATAGCAATAGCGACCTGAAATAACACCATCTACAATGAACAGCCAAACCGCAAATTAAAGTATTGGTTGTAGTTGTCCAAATTATAGTATTTACCTTTTACGTTTCCAGTTTGCATAAACCTGTGGGTAAAAGGAGATGGCCCAGGAAAAGAAGTAAATCCAACCGATGATATAACTAATGATGGTCAGGACATTGCTGTGCACCACCATATAACGGATTCTAATGTGAGAGATTCTAGAGAGAGAGAGGTAAGAAAGACATGGTAATTCATGGAAAGGAGTGATGAAATATGCATAAAGACTTGAAGGTTTAAAGAGTAGTCCTTAAAATGTGCAATGTTGATCTCCCGACTACACATCCCACCGTTTCAATGTGATCAAATCCCATTCATTATTGGGGTTGAACCAAAAACACCTCTTAGTTAATGCACAATGGATGTACTGAATACTTTGGGCATGGTGTATGGTTAGGATTACCAATCAGCTGGTAAAGTTAACGTGCCTCTAATCAACACTAGTTTATAAGATGCCTTTGGCAATAGTTGAAGGCTATATCAGAGCAGATAGCAAGTCAAGAAATATTAGAATAAAAGTTGTTCAAAAGTCACCAGCTTCATAGTTCAGTGATTGGAAAAAGGTACAGTACATTCCTTCTAGCACCTCCCCCATTGATAGCATGACCTGGAGACTACACATTGATGATCTACCGGTTCAGATGGCTGCTGTTGGTCCTCAGATGGGTGGTGACCTGGCCAACATCAGCGCCTTTGACTGGGAAAGACACTGGGGTCACGGAGTTACAAGGCAGTATAACCTGTTGTAGAAAATTTCAAGTTAACTGTTAACATGCAAAAGAATATCAAGGGAAAGGGAAATAACTCCATATACAAGCAGAGAGTGGAGCCGTACTGAATGTTTAAACAAACGATCACCATTAGAAATGCAAGATAAAAACCAAAAATAGCCAGAGGCTCCAGAACGATTCCCAGTGTTTGAGGTATGCAATTACTTACAAGGTCAGGGAGTTCAATAATGGGAAATTCCTGAGATGAGTAGGTCACATTGAATGTGATCAGTACGTTCTCCTGAAGGGGAGCACTGAGGGAGGAAGCGAGAATTCCCACTGATGAAGAACCGCAGACAATGACCACAGACCCCACACCCAATACTAGAATAGAACCCACCTCAGAGCAATGGTGACATCCTCAAAGCTGTCAACTTCTAGGTGAACGACCTCTGGCACCAATAACCTCACAACAGCCCCTGAGATGATATCAAACTTTGAGTGCAAAGTCATTGAGAAACTTAGTCAAATATGTATCTCCTCATTAAAGGAACCTCTGCCTTCACCTGGTTTCTAATAGGAGTTTACAGACTCTTGAGCAAGATATTTACAAATAAACTGGTCAGGTACAACAAGTCATTTTACATCAAGAAACAAGTCCACAATTAAGATCGCATGCTATACTTGAAATAATCGTTCACACTTTTCAGATCAATATTAGCAACTTAAAAGAATAAATCACAAGGACCAGCCAAGCTGAACAAATAGCATTCTTAGTGCTGTGACCTCAAATATCATAGATATTGCTCTAAATAAACTCTCCAGGGTTTCTGCCCTACATTTGGAGTGCTCACCTATATACCCACCTGGGCAATCTCCTTCAGAAAGCGAGGGAGTACATTTGCGTTAACAATTTAATCAAACGGGTACAAGTGAATGCACTGAAACCCTCTGATCAACTCTCTTCCCCACCCTCCAATAAGAGAGAACTTAAGACACTCACCACACTGTAGCTGCAAGTTACTGAGCAGACACAACATGGGAACCAGCAAGAACATAGACTGCTTCATGGTGTAGATATAAACCTGGGGCGAGAAGAAAGAAAGGCAGAGAGAGTTACAAACTAGTCAGACTCCAACCATCCCTGTCCAGCACAGGGGGGGATTTAACAGGGAGCCCCAAGCCAGTCAGGGGGAGAATTCAGATCAGCTCAAGTCCCAAATAAAGTTAAGTCTAGGGAAGGTTGAACCTTCTACACCTGCACACGGTTAAGATACAGCTGACAATCCCAGAGATAAGAAGATTTCAGGGTTGGATGACAATTAGATTTTAAGTGCACCTGGTACAAAAACTTAACACAACTTCAAGCCGTTCAAGTCAAAGAAAGAATCTCCTAAATATCAACCCAAAAGCCTTTTAAACAGCGAGTGTCCAAGTCCCAGCCAAACCACCCCACCAGGACGCTCCCAACACAAAGGCTCTTAAAAAGTTAAATTGGGATCTAAATACCTGGCACAAAAACAACATGCAACTTGAAGCATTTAAGCCATGAAAAGAACCTCCTAAAATCTCAACTCCAAGACCTTTTAAACAGCTGGTGGACACGAGGGTAATATTTTTGCCTCCCTTTATTTTGCCCACCAGACACTTACCTGTTCCTTGCTTCCAATCCTGAGTCCCTCTGAGAACTGTTGCTGTTTAGTTCCCTGGACATGTTATATGCACGATTCCCCCCCCCTTTGCAGACCATTGGACAGGTGAGTGTACTTGTTTCAATAGGCAGCACTGGGCTATTTAGCCTCATGGTGATTGAGGGCATGAATTGTTTGAGAATGAGTTAACCTCATGTGTTTCTCACAAGTCACTGAGGGTTGGTCACTGCACATTACCTGCCTTGGGTCAATGCAGCCCACTTCCAAATGGTCCTCTTGGTTTTCAAAGACCGGGAGCTAACACATTGCTGTTAATAATAATAATAATCTTTGCATTTGATATAACACCTTATTACATCATTGAGAGTCTCCAAGCGCTTCACAGGATATACTGTAGTGTGGGACACTGCTGTGTGCGATTGGCTGCTGCGTTTGGCCCACACGTTAATCCTTGCTTTTGATATAGCGCCTTGTCATGTCGTTGAGACGTCTCAAAGTGCTTCCCAGAATACACTGTAAAGTGAATTGACTGTGTATTTTGTAGGCTAAATTTTACAGTAAATCCTGCAAAGCCCTTTGAGACATTTTGGTGATGTGATAAGGCTCCATGTCAAGAGCAAGGATTATTATTAATATTATTACTAGCTGTTGCCTTGTTTTTCACGATATGATTTCAAGTGTGCGGCATCCATCGGGGATCCATCAAACATCTCCAGTTTACGGCCCCACGCACACATGTTGACTAAGCACGGAACAATGACATGGCATGAATCACCAGCACATTTGCCTGTGCAGTGTGTTGAGTGGGAGGATTGCTATCAAAGCTCAATGAGTCATCACAAGGTGGGAAAGTGGGAGGTTATGTGGGCAACGGGTGGAATGTGCCTAAATGAAGGAATAGCAAACACTGGAAATCTGAAACACTGTAGAAAAAAATCAGATGGTATCTATCAGAGTAATAATAATAATCCTTGCATTTGATATAGTGCCTTATCATGTCATTGAGACATTTCAAAGCGCTTCACAGAATAAAGTGGATTGACTGTATATTTTGTGGGCGAAACGCGGCAGCCAATTGTACACAGCTGTGTCCCACAAATAGTCGTGGATTGAGTGACCAATTTATTAGTATTATTATGCTATTTGAAGTAGTGTTTTTAGGAGAAATATTGTTAGGAGAGGTGAGGAGTAATGTTTTTTATTCTGACAGTTATTAGAACATGGATTGCCGGACCAAAACCTGTGATTGAAGCAGAATCCATAATAGTGTTTTAAAAGGGAGTTGGACAAATATTTGACTATCTTCCTGGGGGTGAAGTGTGTGTGGGGGGGTGGGAGGGGGGAGAGAATAGGTGTCTCTGTGGGGCTCAGCCACCTCCAAGGTGATGTGCTTGGCAATGGAATGTCAGAATCGCGTCAACTCTTTGTGGCAGTGTTGGCGGTCTAGTTCCTTAGTCAGGTGAATATGTGATACCCCAGGGTAATGCTGATGACAGACCCAGCCAGCCTGGCTCATTAAAAATATTATAATAATAATAATCATCATATCATTGAGATGTCTCAAAGCACTTCACAGGGTATACTGTAACGTGAAGTGACTGATTTTTTTTCTGGGCGTAATATAGCAGCCAGTTTAACACAGCAATGTCCCACAAACTGCCATGGAGTGAGTGACCAAATTTTATTTGGGGGATTGTTGGCCAGGACACCGGGAGAGAGAAATTCTCTTTTCGAAGGGATCAGTTTTGCCAATGAAAAGGCGCAGAAAATGCCCTCATTTTCAATATCAGCTGCATTTTTGGGAGGTGGGGTCGCCAGGGTGTCTGGCACACGCGGAAACACATCGCCAAGTGCTGTGCGCAATTAGCTGCCGCGTTTCGCTCACAAGGAATAATAATAATCCCTCCAAAAAACAAAAACAATAATAAAAATTGGTCATTTTCAATCCACGACTGTTTGCGGGACGCTGTTGTGCACAATTTGCTGCCGCGTTTCGTTTTGCCCACAAATACTCAGTCAATTTACTTTACAGCATATTCTGTGAAGTGCTTTGAGACGTCGAGAAGACGTGATAAGGCACTACATCAAATGCAAGGTTTATTATTATTATTATTATTATTATTATCAGAAACCGTGCTTAATAGCATCCAAACCAGACTGAGAGTTCCACGTTGCATGTATTATTTATTGCCAGCAGAGAGTACAGTCTCTGTGCGAATGCGTTTACCACATGCCCAGGATTGAGGGCGGATTTCTAGGGAAGGAAAGCATCGATCTCTCGTCATTTGCTGTGCAGTGGGCTGAGGGGAGGACTTTTCTTTACAGGGTAGAACACCATGGCGACAGCTGCTTCGCAAGAGTGGCTGGAAGATGAGCTGACTTGCCCTATCTGCCTTCAGGTCTATGCCGATCCAGTGATCCTGAGCTGTAAGCACAGCTTTTGTCAGTCCTGCATTGAAGAGACGTGGAAGGAACCTGTTTCCGGCTCTTACTGCTGCCCTGAGTGCAGAGCTGAGGGGAAGGAGAGGCCTGTGCTGGAGAAGAACTTCAAGCTGGCCAACATAGCTCAGAAATATCTGGCTCTGGAGAGCGGGCAGAATGCAGTGCTTTGCAATTACTGCATCAGGAAGCAGCTGCCGGCCATTAAAACCTGCATGAAATGCGAAGCCTCTATGTGTCCCATTCACCTCAAGCTGCACACACAGAACGGAGCATTTAGAAATCACCCACTGGTTGACACCGCCTCCGACCTGTCGGTGTGGAAGTGTCCTGAGCATGAGAAGCTGCTGGACATTTACTGCAAGGATGACCAGTTGTGCGTCTGCACCCTCTGCACTTTGATAGGGAAACACAAGAACCACAACTGTGGCAGCATCAGTGAGGGAGAGAAGGAGCTGAGGGTAAGTTGGTACCCGGCTCGGTTGGCAGCAATGGGTCAGAAAGTTGTGGGTTCAAGCCCCACATCAGGGACTTGGAATCACGTTGGTTAAGCTGATGCTCCGATGCAGCGCTGGGCGGGAGGGGGGGTGTTGCATTGTCGGAGGTGCCGCCTTTCGGATAAGATGTTAGACTGACGCTGTCCCTGTGTGAGGGCGCTATATAAATGCAAGTTGTTGTCATTGTCCCATCTGCCTGTTTGCAGATTGATTAAAGATCCCGCGGTGCTATTCAAAAAAAGAAAGGAGTTTCTCTCTCCCTCGGTGTTCCTGGCCAACAATTCCTCACTCCAAATAAAACTGGGCACTCACTCCATTGCTGTTTGCGGGACATTGCTGTGCGCAAACTAACTGCCACATTTCGTCCATAAGATACACGTCAATCCACTTTACAGTGTATCCTGTGAAGCGCTTTGAGACGTCTCGACGATGTGTTAAAGTGCTATATCAAATGCGAGGATTGTTATAGATTATATGTTGGTAAATTGAATCTCTGTTGTTCGCTGATCAGTGTGTGCGTGTGTATTTGTGTGAAGTGCTTCGGGATGCTATCTTGCGTGAAAAGCGCTAAATAAATGCTAGTTGTGTGTCTATATGTGTGTGCGTGTTGGTATGTATGTGAGTATGTGTGAGTGTGTCTGTGCATGTATGTATGTATGTATGTATGTGTTTGTATGTGAGTGCATATGTTTGTATGTATGCATGTGTGTGTCTAAACGTGTGTGTGTGTGTTGGTTAAGCCCTCTCCTCTGATGACTTTATTAGGAGAACCTCAAGCATCAGCAGAAAAGTGTTCAGCAAAATGTGGAAACGGTGCAAATGGTTCTCCGCGATCTGCACACGTACAAGCTAAATACTCAGGTGCGTCTGTTTCTCGTTGTGACCGGTTGCTTTACTGTTAGAGCTGCTCACGGGTATTTAGACTCGAGGTCCGAGGCCCGAAATTCCTCCCAGACTTAGCTTCAATATCAGCTGCAAATGCAGGCACTCCACTTTACAATAGAGTGCGAAACGCTTTGAGCCGTTATGATGATGTGGTAAAGCTGTATCAAATGCAAGGATGTTTATTATTATTTATTATTATCATTAAAGGTTGCACGGGATTCTGGAAAATTCTTAAATTCAGACTTTGTCAGGGACTCTGTTTCCTGCACCTATTTTTTTTGACGACAGCAGAAAACCGTCTTGAATTTAAGAATTTTCCTACAATTTTGCACATAGCTAACACCACGAGAAATGATCAGGGATCTTTGTGTGTGTGCGTGTGTGTGTGTATGTGTTTCCATCCCCTGCTGGAAGGTGCGTGGGATGAGATGACAGTGCATTGAGTAACGAGAGGATAATTAGTCTTGGCTATGATGCTTCCTCCCACTCCTCTCCCTTCCCCTCCTCCTCCCTCCCACTGTGACTCGTTCTCAAGGTTCACATGTAAGAAGTGATCAATTGTGTGGAACTTTACTCCAGCACCATCTCCGGCCCAGCCGTGTGGTAGCATCACAGGGTTGTGGGTTCAGGTCTAAATACCTAACTGTCCAGCACTTTGGGACATCCTCCTGAAGTGAAGGGCGCTAGACAAATGTCATTTGTTGTTTTGTACCAAGTGCAAGGATATTAAGACGAGGACAAATCTCCAGCCTCATCATGGTTCAACGTTGAATAATCTTATTCATTTACCCTCTAAGCCACAAGAGCGAGAACCATTTCCTTTCTATCAGAGAAGTGTGTACAGGACCATTTTATATTAAATAAAGGCAGAGGTCGCTGGGAACACTCAGCGAGCAGCGTCTATGGGGAGAGGAAAGTGAGTTAAGGTTTCGGGTCGATGACTTTTCATCAGAACTGGCGAAAGGTCATCAACCTGAAACGGTAACTTATTTTCCTCTCTCTCCATAGATGCTGCCTGACCTGCTGCTTTTATTTCCGATTTCCAGCATCTACAGTATCTTGCCCACCATTTTATATTGTTCCTCTTTGCACTGGATATTATATAACAACATAAAATGATTGTTGATGGTTTATTGAATTGGTTAAGGCTCTGATAGCAGAAACCAAGCAAGAAGTGAAGGAGAAATACGACGCTTTAAGAAAACATATTGAGAGGGAGGAGCTTGATGTCTTCCGATGTCTGGACAAGGAGCAGAACAGGGTCATGGTGGCCATTGATGCACAGATCCAGGAGCTTCAAACCAAAATGAAGTCTCTAGAGAAATGTTTGACAGATCTCACTGAGCTTCACCTAAAGAGAGAGAAACTGGCATTTATACAGGTAAATACGACAACTTGCATTTATTTACATAGCGTCCCTCACACGGGTAGTGTCCCAGAGTGCTTGACATTGGTGGCACACCACGCTGAGCCAGGGGTAGGCACGGTCGAAGAGGAAGGTCTTCAAGCATGATCTGAAGATGGGGAAGGAAGGGGCAAGGGATAGTGGAAGAGTGTTCCAGAGTTTCGGGGCGTAGTGGCTGAAAGCGGATTCATTATTTTCCGGCGGAGGAGGGGAGGTAAGCAAGGTGGTGACCCAACAATCTTATCTCTGGAATTTCCATGTGTAGATGGGATGCATGGAATTCTCGGGTTGGTTGCTCTTAAACATGGTGATGGGTTTCCGCATGTGCCAGACACCCGGCTGACCAAACAATTGTTCCTTTTAACAATTTCGGGAGACCGGTTTCCAAACCCAGGCAGGGTTTAAGAATGCTCCACCATTCCATGCACCCTTTCTAATTCAAGACAAGATATGTTATAGGCTAAGATCTCGCTACCTATGTTCCAGAATTATATAATAATCCTTCCATTCGATGGACTTGCTCTTACGCCACCCCAGCTGAGACCTGCAAACTCGGCACTGACCCCACTATCCAAATGATCCATTTTAACCACCTTCAATTTCACACAAATGAAGAAATCTGGTATTGAATCTTATGAATATTGAGAAGGACCCACCAACATGCATTATTCACACGTCCATTACTATTGTACCTTGTCTTTCCCAATTATAAATCCAAGAAGGTTCCTGTGATGGCTTGGTGAGCAAAGGATGTGTACAGCACTGAGCCACACATAAGAGATCACAGGTTCAATCTCCAGACTTCCCTGATCTCAGTTGGAGCTATAACTGAGTTTCTTCACAGGAGTCTTTGGTGGAATTAACATTGGGCTGATACAATTGAGCTGCCTGTTCATGCTGCCCTCTGTGTAAGTGTCTGGCATGTGCTGTGAGCGGTGTATGATCCGGAGCAGGGTGATTTCAGTTCAGTTCATATGTCGGAGGGAACATTCATCAAAACTGAATACTCCCCTCTGTCTTCATCAATTCTTGATGTGCTTGCAAACTTCATGAGCAAATGTACTCTGTACTTACACAGATCTCTTCAATCTTGTCTCACTACAGGGATTTCATTCGATGGCAGGCAGGTAAGTGGCAAGACTGTTTGCACACCCACTTTGCATTCAAAGTACTGTACTCTCCCCCAACTATCGGAGGAAAAATACCTAATTTGTAAAACTACACCATGATAATAATCCTTACATTTGGTGTAGCGACTTTCATGTCAGGGTGGCTTCTCAAAGCGCTTCACAGGATATCCTGCATAGAAAAGTGTAGTGCCTGTACTGTATATTTTGTAGGCCAATGCGACACTCAACCATTGAAGAGAATGGCCAGTTTTATCTGGAGGATTGTCAGCCAAGATGTCAGACCGATAGGGAGAAATCCTCGTTCCTTCGCTGGGACCCAGTTTTAACATGAGGCAATAACCCTTACATTTTTGTGAGGAGGAGTTTGGAGGCACCTGCCCCAGCTTCATTTACTGGCACAGAAATGATTCGCAGCTTTCCAATTCCATTTACACAGCACCCTTCGCTCAGGGTAACATCCCGAAGCACTGTAGTGTGACGGGTTTTGGCTGAGCCAGGGAGAAGGGGGAGGTGATCATAGCTGAGATCAAAGTGGGAGAGGGGTAGGTTTTAATGTGGGATTTTTAAGAGAGATTATTTGTGGCTCATCGCTGTGTGCACTTTACACTATCTCCTGTGAAGCATAAAAGGCCCAGGGCCAAATTTAAGGATCATTATTATAGGTAGAGGGTTAGGGGATGTGATGGAGGGGTAAAGGTTGAGGTGGAGGAGCAGAGGCATGGAGTTCCGGAGGTTGGGAGAGCACTGGCTTAACTGGTCGTTGATACTAGCTCAGAGAGGGCAGGGTTCACGCAGCAGACCTGTTTGCTGAGCGGAGAGGGCGAGCAGAGAAGTGGGGTTCAAGTGATAATATTATTATTCATTAATGCAAGTATTATGACAGTAAGCTCCTGATAACTCGACTATGTCACCACTGTACCACTTAAGTCATCATGCTGTCAGTATCCCGGACGTATTTATTTATGTATTGAAACATGTGCCTCACACTTGTGTTCGAATCCCCTCACTCCCTGTCACCTCCCTACAGGTTCCGCCACTGTTCAGCGCTCTGAGATGCTATCCTGCATGGAGGACGCTATATGAGTGCAAGTTGTTGTTGTTGTATGCCTAACTCACCACTCTGGATAACTGATCACTGAGATATTTTCCCGTGGAGTGACGAGTTATCAGGAGTTAATTGTTTTATTATTGCTATTATTTTTACCCTAATACACCCCTGTTTATATTTCAGAATAAAGGACACGTCTCAACCAATTCCCCTCCCGCAGTCCCACCCTCGCCTGGACAAAATCAAACTCGACAAGTTAAAAAATCAGATCCAGAGAAATTATGAAATGGTTTCCCAGGTGCAGATGGGCAGAGACAATCTGATCTCGCTGTGTAAGTACTGCCCTGGCAACAGCGCCTGCCTGAAAGTCAGTCAGTAACCTGTAATATTGGGATGTGTAAGACAGAGACGTGACATTCTCTCTGTGAGCCATCCTCTCCCTCGCTGCCTCTCTTTCTCCCTCATTGCCCTTCTCTCTCTCCGTTGCCCCACTCTCTTCACCTCTGCCCCTCGCTGTACTAGTACATTCCAACGTGTATGAAACAAGCTCCCTGGGGAGATGGCAGAAGCAGAAAATGTCTACTCAGATAGATTTCTGTTTGGAAACAATATCTCGGGATGCAGTATATAGTTTGGGCAAGCGAGTGCTGGGCGAACTGGACGGACCTTGGGACTTCTTTTGCCTAGTAAATTCTTACGGTTCTTATTCTTTCTGATTTACATATTTCCCAGATGGACAGGCAATCAGTCCAGACCCTGACACGGCACATTTCAAGCTCGTCCTGTCCGACAGTAACAGGACAGTGTCGCTCTCCCAGAAAAAGCAGCCACTTCCCAGGAACCTGGAGAGGTTTGATTGCTGCCAGCAGGTCATTTGCTCCGAGGGGATAAAGTGCGGCCGTTCGTACTGGGAGGTGGAGATTGTGGGAGACGGTGGGGTGTGGAAGGTCGGGGTGTGTTACCGGAGCATCAGCCGCAAGGGCAAGAGTGCGGATTGTTTACTGGGTAGGAACAACACCTCGTGGTGTCTGTACTCCCTGCTGGGATCCGTCCTCGCTCTGCACGATGATAGCGACACCAAGCTGCCCGTTGTGAACGTCTCTCGAGTTGGGGTGTTTGTGGATTTCGAGGCTGGAATCATTTCCTTTTACAGTGTGTCGGGCAGGAAACTCTGCCTCCTGCACACCTTCCGGGAGCAAATGTTCACCGAGCCCCTCTACCCGGCTCTGCAGGTCGGGGATTTCAGTACAATTCTGTCGCTCTGTGCCCTGAAGTGAATGGTACATTTTTCTCACATCTCATCGCTCTGCTCTTAACCACAAACCATTTCATGACACAAATCCAACCAAGGACTGATCGATTAAGATCTCTCTTCCGATCCTTGAGTTTAGCGATCGCCTACAAACATACAATCCACATGGTCCCCAATCCTCAGGAGGCTGTTGGTACCTGATGATTGGGAGAGGCATACCTGAGTGGGACTCTCAGTCCGGTTTGGGATCTGCTTGTGTCTGACCAACACAATAATGTATTGCATCGAACACACGTTTAACCCCTAACTGTCAACCCACCTACATCCTGCTCAAGTTCCTCAACCTGCCAGCACTCACAGGCTTGCCTGCTCTCCCTAGAAGTTCAATTCATCCTCACAAATCCGATCGTAAACCTCTCGCATTCCATTCACGTCAGCCTCCTTATAATCCGTATTTTTCTTTCGCCCAAGTTCTTCATCGTGATTAGTGTTTTCATTTCCTTTCTGAAATAGAATTCCTTGAGTTTGACGACCAAATTATCCTCCTGTTCAGGCAGACGTTAAAGATCCTGCGGCACTATTTGAAAAGCGAGGGAGTTTCTCCCTGTGTCCTGGCCAATAATCCCCCAGATAAAATTGATCATTCATTTCATGGCTGTTTGTAGGACATTGCTTTCGCCAATTGGCATTTGCCTACAAAATACACAGTCACTATGCTTTACAGTAAATCCTATGAAGAGCTTTTGAGATGTCCTCCTGCTGTAAAATGCGCATTATTATTATTATAGTGTATGTTGGTTGCTTCTGTTGGATCTTTATTCAGATGCTTTCCTTTCTGGAATGTTAATGAATGCCCGTTAATTGCTTACTTTACGACAAAGTTCTTCATATTCCAATACTGTACGTATGTTTGCTCAATTGTTTTGTTGTCACTGAGATCCTTTCAATGCTGCTTTTGGAATAAGCTTATCTGCTGCCAGTCGGCTTGGAAGCAATTGAAAAGTTTAACATTGTGCATTTTTTTGACACTTGGGTATCTGATGTACAGTATGTACTGATGTGTTTTGTACGCAGTTTTAACTGGCTGTAATTGTGAACTTTACATGCAATCCACCTAAAATATATATATTTTTAACCAATTTACCTGTTTGTTTGTTTTTTTTGTTCGCTTGCTCAACACGGAGCTCTCTCACAAGCTGCTACGAAAATAAGAGGATCGTGCCTGGAGTTAAAAGCTTGTAGCACGTCACAAAAATTAACAGAGTGTCCGCAGCAACTTTACCAAACTGTCCGTGCTCTCTGCTCAGCTTCATATCCCTGCCCTGCCTGCCTGCGTTTCTGCTCCCACCCTCTGCAGCTCCATCACGGAGCCCCCTCCGACTCACCCCCTCTCTTGCCTCCTTCAAGGCTCACCTCAAAACCTTCTTCCTCAACCACGCCTTTGGTCATCTCCCCAACTCCGCTCCTCTTCCCCTCTTTGTCACTCCTGCCCCAGCTCAGGTGCGAACCCTTCGCTGTCCATCGACCTGAAAGGCGCTCTATATAAACGCAATTTTTTTCGTTATCGCCATCAATGGACTTCAATCGACGGGACACAGTCGGTGCACTTTACAGGAAATCACGTGAAGCTCTCTGAGATGTCTCGATGAATCAAGGTGGGTTGGCGAATTGCCTTCCAGGGGTAAAAATAATCCCCCTCCCAAAAAAAAAAAAGAGACTAATTTGGCCACTTGAATGCACAACTGTTCGCGGGAACACCGCTGCGCGCAATCGGCAGCCGCCGCCGCCGCCTTTCGCCCACAAAGTGCGCGGTCAGTTCACTTCACGGCGTACTGCGTGAGGCGTTTCGAGACGTCTCGAGGATGTGGTGAAAGGCGCGACGTACACAGGCAAAGATGACGGCGATGGTGATTACTGTGAGGGGTTGTGTTGAAGGCAACTATTGATTGCATCATTATTTTACTCTCATTGCATAAGCAATGCAGGGGACTGGATGGTGTTGTGAAGAGGGAGGGATAGGCTCCTCGGAGAAGAGCACAGCATCGAGCGTGAGCACAACATGAAGTGTGCGCACAACTTTAAGTGTGCGCACAGCATCGAGTGTGAGCACAGCATTAAGTGTGAGCACCGCATCGAGTGTCAGCACAACATTAAGTGTGAGCACAGCATTAACTATGAGCACAGCATCGAGTGCGAACAGATTAAGTGCGAGTACAGCATTAAGTGTGAGCACAGCATTGAGTGTGAGCACCGCATTGAGTGTGAGCACAGCTTTGAGTGTGAGCACATTAAGTGTGAGCACAGCATTGAGTGTGAGCACAGCATCCAGTGTGAGCACATTCATTGCGAGCACAGCATTGAGTGTGAGCACAGCATTGATTGTGAGCAGAGCACTGAGTGTGAGCACTGCATTAATTGTGAGCACAGGGGAGGGGCAGGAGGAGCCCTCATAGACACTGACACAATCAACACAGACGTGTCAACACAGAGGCAGACGGGTTGTCATCAAAGCTTCTTCCTCATTAAAGGAAAACTATCAGGTGTGTGGGGGGGGGCAGAGGGGGGGGGGGGGGGGTTAGGGGGGGTGTGTGTGGGGGGGGGGTGTGTGGGGGGGGTTAGGGGTTGGGGTGTGTGTGTGTGGGGGGGGTTAGGGGTTGGGGTGTGTGTGTGGCTGTGTGTGTGTGGGTGTTGGTGGGGGTGTGTGAGGGGGTGTGTGTGAGGGTGTGTGTGGGTGTTGGTGGGGGTGTGTGTGGGGGGGTTAGGGGGTGTGTGTGTGGTGTGGGTGTGTGTGTGTGAGGGTGTGTGTGTGGGGGGGGTTAGTGGGAGGGTGTGTGTGTGTGAGGGTGTGTGTGAGGGTGTGTGGTGTGTGGGGGGTTAGTGGGGGGGTGAGGGTGTGGTGTGGTTAGGGGGGGTTAGGGGGTGTGTGTGGGGTGTGGGGTGTGTGTGTTGTGGGGGTGTGTGAGGGTGTGTGTGTGGGGGGTTAGTGGGGGGGTGGGTGTGGGGGGGTTAGGGTGTGTGTGAGGGGTTAGTGGGGGGTGTGGGGGGTGTGGCTCTGTGAGGGTGTGTGTGTGGGGGGGGTTAGTGGGTGTGGGGGTGTGGGGGTGTGTGTTTGGGGGGGGTTAGTGTGAGGGGGGTGTGTGTGTGGCTGTGGGGGCTGTGTGTGGGGCTGTGTGTGTGGTTAGGGGGGGTTAGTGTGGGTGTGTGTGAGGGGTGTGTGAGGGGGTGTGGCTGTGGGTGTGTGTGGGTGTGGTTAGGGGGGGGTTAGTGTGGGTGTGTGTGTGTGTGGGGGTGTGGGGTTAGTGTGTGTGTGTGTGTGTGTGAGGGTGTGTGTGTGTGTGGGGTTAGTGTGAGGGGGTGTTGGTGGGGGTGTGGTTAGGGGGGGGGGTTAGTGTGTGTGTGTGTGGGGTTAGTGTGAGGGGGTGTGGGTGGGGGTGTGGTTAGGGGGGGGTTAGTGTGGGTGTGTGTGTGTGTGTGGGTGTGTGTGAGGGGGTGTGGGGTTAGTGTGTGTGTGAGGGGGTGTGAGGGGGTGTGGGGTTAGTGTGTGAGGGTGTGGGTGTGGTTGGGGGGGTTAGTGTGAGGGTGTGTGTGTGTGTGTGAGGGGGTGTGTGTGTGAGGGGGTGTGGGGTTAGTGTTAGTGTGGGTGTGGTTAGGGGGGGTTAGTGTGTGTGTGTGTGTGTGAGGGGGTGTGTGTGGGGGTGTGTGTGAGTGTGGGGGGGGTTAGTGTTAGTGGGGGTGTGGTTAGGGGGGGGTTAGTGGGTGTGTGAGGGGTGTGGGTTTAGTGTGTGTGTGGGTGTGTGTGGGGTTAGTGTGGGTGTGGTTAGGGGGTTAGTGTGAGGGGTGTGTGTGAGGGGGTGTGTGTGTGTGTGAGGGGGTGTGTGAGGGGGTGTGGCTGTGGGTGTGTGTGAGGGGGTGTGGGGTTAGTGTTAGTGTGTGTGTGGTTAGGGGGGGGTTAGTGTGGGTGTGTGTGAGGGGGTGTGTGAGGGGGTGTGTGTGAGGGTGTGTGTGGGTGTTGGTGGGGGTGTGGTTAGGGGGGGTCAGTGTGTGTGTGTGTGAGTGTGAGGGTGTGTGTGTGTGTGTGAGGGGGTGTGTGTGTGGGTGTGTGTGAGGGGGGTGAGGGGGTGTGGTCTGGTGCCGGGGTGATGGCGGAGTATCAGGCCGTACAGCGCGGAGCTCTGAGGCTCAAAGGAGTGGCCGAGTTGGGCCTTAAAAAGTAAGTCCGGGAGTGTGTGAAGGGAAAGGAATCCCCGGACCGCGGGCCCGAGAGAAGCCGCGGCATAAAGTTAGGCGCTGCCGCGGGGGAGAGAAGCTCAGACCACCGGGAGCCGCTCAGCCGTCTGTGTGTCACTGTGTGTCACTGTGTGTGTGACTGTCACTGTGTGTGTATCACTGTGTGTGTGTGTGTGTGTCTGTCGCTGTGTGTGTATCACTGTGTGTGTCTGTCTCTGTGTGTGTATCACTGTGTGTGTGTGTCTGTTGCTGTGTGTGTGTATCACTGTGTGTGTATCACTGTGTGTGTGTGTCTGTCGCTGTGTGTGTGTATCACTGTGTGTGTGTGTGTCTGTCGCTGTGTGTGTATCACTGTGTGTGTCTGTCTCTGTGTGTGTATCACTGTGTGTGTGTGTCTGTCGCTGTGTGTGTATCACTGTGTGTGTGTGTGTGTGTCTGTCGCTGTGTGTGTATCACTGTGTGTGTGTGTGTGTCTGTCGCTGTGTGTGTATCACTGTGTGTGTGTGTGTGTCTGTCGCTGTGTGTGTATCACTGTGTGTGTGTGTGTCTGTCGCTGTGTGTCACTGTGTGTCTGTGTGTGTCTGTCGCTGTGTGTGTATCACTGTGTGTGTGTGTGTGTGTCTGTCGCTGTGTGTGTATCACTGTGTGTGTGTGTGTCTGTCGCTGTGTGTGTATCACTGTGTGTGTGTGTGTCTGTCTCTGTGTGTGTATCACTGTGTGTGTCTGTCGCTGTGTGTGTATCACTGTGTGTGTGTGTCTGTCGCTGTGTGTGTATCACTGTGTGTGTGTGTGTGTGTCTGTCGCTGTGTGTGTATCACTGTGTGTGTGTGTGTCTGTCGCTGTGTGTGTATCACTGTGTGTGTGTGTGTCTGTCTCTGTGTGTGTATCACTGTGTGTGTGTGTGTCTGTCGCTGTGTGTGTATCACTGTGTGTGTGTGTGTCTGTCGCTGTGTGTGTATCACTGTGTGTGTGTGTCTGTCGCTGTGTGTGTATCACTGTGTGTGTGTGTCTGTTGCTGTGTGTGTATCACTGTGTGTGTATCACTGTGTGTGTCTGTCGCTGTGTGTGTATCACTGTGTGTGTATCACTGTGTGTGTCTGTTGCTGTGTGTGTATCACTGTGTGTGTATCACTGTGTGTGTCTGTCCCTGTGTGTGTATCACTGTGTGTGTATCACTGTGTGTGTGTGTGTGTCTGTCGCTGTGTGTGTATCACTGTGTGTGTGTCTGTCGCTGTGTGTGTATCACTGTGTGTGAGTGCTCTGAGTTGCTGTCTGGCATGAAGGGCACCATGTAATGCACGTTGTTGTTGTTGTACCAGCCTGGCTCAGTTGGTCTCACTCTTGCCTCTGGAGACGACCTACACGGCGCTGTCCTTGAATGGTTCAGATCGTACCTCTCGTACCACCTCCACTTCATCTCCACGCACGACTTCTCCTCTAACCCCCGCACCGTCTCATCCGGCGTTCCTCAGGGCTCTGTCCGTGGTCCCCTCCTCTTCAATATCTATACGCTCCCTCTTGGTGACTTGGGATCAACTTCCACATGTGTGCGGATGACACCCAACTCTAACTCTCTGCCTCCACCCTCAACTCCAGGACCACTGCTGTCCTGACAGAATGTCTGTCAGACATCAAGTCCTGGATGAGAGCCAACTTTCTTCAGTTGAACGTCAACAAGACCGAGGCTCTCCTGGTTGACTCCCCGTCAGCGCCTCCTCACCTCAGGCGCTGACAGCATCACTGTCCATGGTCGCGCACTCCACCTTACTAAGCCAGTCCGGAATCTTGCACCCACCCTCTGGAAATCCATCCCACAGTCCTCCCACAGTCTCTCCATCTCGCCCCCTCCCTCGCCACCTTCAAGACCCACCTCAAGACCCTCCTCTTCGCCCGTGCTTTTGATCTCCCTGCTCCCCCGCCCCTGCCCTCCATTCTCCCCCACCCCGACCCTCAGCTCAGGTCCATAACTCTGTCTATCCAGCGGCTTAGGATGTCCTCCCAACGTGAAGGGCGTTGTACAAATGTAATTTTGTTGTTGTTGTTGCATTTTCGGATCCCACAGCGCTATTCGAAAAGAGGAGGATGTTCCTCTCTCGCAGTGCCCTGTCCTGGCCGACATCCCCCCAAGTAAAGTCGGTCACTCACTCCATGGCTGTTTGTAAGACATTGCCGTGCGCAAACCGTTTTTGTGGTAGAGTTTGTGTGTTGATCGCAAAAGATGCGACAACAGGGCACCACTGTTGCTCAGTGTTATACGCACGCACATCCCCATCCCTTTCCTGTCAAAACAACTTGCTATCTCCCTTGCCTGGAAGTTCTGTTGTCTCGTATCTTTTTTTTCCCTCTGAGTTGAAGCTGGTTCACACACTGCTGCTAAAACCAGCCAAGCTAAAGCCGTAACTGGGCTCTTTCTTCCAGGAAGAAAAAGAAGGTTAAAGATGCCAAGAAAATGCTCCAGCAAATTAGCACAAGTCAGCAGCAGCTGCAGCCGATGGGGGACACGAAGGAGGAAAATGCTGGGCAGAGAATGGCAACCGTGGACAAGCAAACTCCAGCACAGAAAGCATTCGATAAAATGCAGGAGAGACGGGTGAGCGTCTAAAGAACACCAACTGGCCGCGCTCATGATCTGGTTTATTCCCCAGTTACTGTTGAATCTAATTGTGTAAAGCATTTAGATTCGTGTTCACGCTGGTGAAGGAATATCCCTCAGTAGAAGAATCCTTGCTCCCAGTAAATGATCTGCCCCTCCACATCCCGCTGAGGAGGCACTGGTAGGCATCAACAACGCCCTGAAGTACTGCGGCCCCAGCTGGCTCAGGATCCTGACTGCCGAGACCGCCATAAGGTGCTGACTCCATTCTGATGCTAGATGCTGAATCGAGCTTGGAGTTAGATCAACTCACAGAGGAAACCCTGCAAATCGGCCACACTGGGAGGGTTAAAAGGGAGACTAGCCTAGTTTCGGCTGATACTCCCAATATATTCCTGGCCCAGGAGGAGAGAACAACAACAAAAAGATTCCATTTATAGAGCGCCTTTCACGTCGGGAGGACGTCCCAAGCGCTACATTGTCCGAGGTGCCGTCCTTCAGATGAAACATCAAACTGAAGTTCCGTCTGTCTGTTCGGGTGGATGTTAAAGATCCCGTGACACTATTCAAAAAGTATTCTGGCCAGCAATCTCCCAAATAAAGTTGCTCACTCACTTCACGTCTGTTTGAGGGACATTGCTGTCCGCAAATTGGCTGCTGGGTTCACCTGTGAAGTCGTTATACTTCGCAGTAAATCGTGTAGCATTCTGGAGACGAGCTCCTGAGGTGAAGCCGCTGTATCAAATGCACCAATGATTATTATTGTCATTTATTAATAATAATTTTTTTTTAACCCCCCCTCCAGCAAATTGAAAGAATTTTGAAGAAGGCGTCAAAAACGCACAAGCAGAGTGTGGAGGTGAGTCTCGGATGAACCCTGGGGCACGTTTCCAATACAAGCGCTCTTCGTACGATACGGAATGCGAAACATCTGGAACTTCGTTCCAATTAAAATTTTCAAATAAGGTGAAACTTACGCTCACGGGACGTGGTTCCGGGAATTATTTCTTTATCGTAGAGGTGAGAACCGCTTGCATCTGGGACGTCATTTTGACTCCCAATCCGCCAGTGAAAGATTAATACCCGGGAATTTCATTGCCACAGACTCCCGTCGGTCCGTCATCCAAACAAAAAACGTGGGACGATGGTGGATGGGTCCGTTCGGCTTTTGCGGTGTCCGTCTCCGGCCACCGGGTGGTGCTGTGGTTTCGCACAGCGGCTGCGAACCGACGCGTCTCTCATTGGATTGCTTGCAGGGCCGCCTGGTGGCGGAGGGGCAGTGGTGCATCTTAGAGTAATCATAATAATAATAATAATAATAATAATAATAATCCTTGCATTTGACGCAGCGCCTCATCACGTCTCCGAGACGTCTCAAAGCGCTTCGCGGGATACACTATTAAAGTGATTTCACTGTATATTTTGTGGGCGAAGCGCGGCGGCCCATTACCCGCAGCAGTGTCCCACAAGCGGTCGTGGATTGAGTGACCTCGTATTTTTTTTTCTCTCTGGTTTCGGTAAACGCAGGCAACGCTTCTGCTTTGTAGTTCAGTTTCAAGTGTAACTGAAAACCTTAGTAGCAGGGGTTGTGGGACACATGACCTACTTAGTACGCTGGCCTTCCGACTCCAGGGGACACGTCTGATTTAGCTCAGCTTCGGACTGGGGTTAAGGCACATTTATGGGACAGTCCAGGGAGCTTTGCATTGCCCCTTTGCCACGATAGCACAGGTGTGAAAAAGGAGATGGGAGCGCTCAATGCTGATATCAGCGGAAATGGTGCGAAACATCATCCACTCCAACATCAGCACCTCTTACCGAGCACGAAAATTCAACCTTCAAAAAGCCCTGTAGCGTGGTGGGTGGGTTATGCTCTTTAGATCTGAATGTTGCCAGTTTAATTTCTTGTATTTTCTTTTCTGGCAGGAATTTAACAGACATCTGGACACCCTGACAGAACACTATGATATTCCCAAAGTCAGCTGGACTAAGTGAGGTCGTGGACGGGTTTCCCCACTCCTCTGTTCTGGTTTTCCATGTTTTAAGGAGGAAGAGTTGCTCCTTGTGTCTCTGATAACAACAATGGCTCTTTAACTGGTTTAACTGATGGCTGAGTTTGCTGCTCAGCTGGAATCCGGTGGCTATTAGCTGTACTATTCTGCTTATATAAAAAAAATCTGGTTTAATTCTCAACCTGCGTTGATCTCAGCCAGGCCGCAGTTGAGGCAGTATTTGGCTGTATTTCACCCACAAAATACACAGTCAATTCACTTCATGGTATATTCTGTGAAATGCTTTCAGACGTCTTGAAGACGTGATAAGGCTCTATGTCAAATGCAAGGATTGCTATTATTTGGCCTCCGCCCATCCCTAGCTTAGGGTGAGGGAATCAACCTGAGCCCCCAGTCCTGATCACTATCCTCTATCTATTTCCTCCCCTGTTGCTGAAGCTGCATTTTGTGGGTGAGGACTGCAGTGAACTAGTCTGTGATGTGCCTGCAGTCAAATAACCCATAGAGCTCACTGTGAAAGCTTATTTCTGTACAGCTCCAGTATTGTTTCCAGTGACCATTATCACAGAAATATGCTGGTAGAGCATTGTGATAGTGCAGTCCTGAATCCTACCTGTACTTCATGGAGTACAGGTAGCTTCATGGGGCTTGATCTTTTAGATTTTAAGCTATAAATTTTGTACATTGGATAAGCACATCTTTTTCTTTATTTTTCTTGTTTTTGTTTCTTTTTCCGCAGCAGAATTCTCAGCCCCCTTGTTCTTGTAGAGGTTTGTCTGATAAAACTATTTTTGCTTTTAGGTCTTTTGGTGAGTTTTCTCAGTCGTATTGCTATCTGTAAAGAACTATTTGCAACCTGCTAAAACCAAAATAAAATGAGAAACTCCATTGCAGAAATAATGTTTTTAATTCAGAATTAAACTTCCCCTCATTACTCCCACCCTCCCAAGTTCGTACAGAACTAACCACACATTCAACCCTCACGCATAGTAGTTCCATTCTCTGAGGTTTCTTTCAAGGTTAATGTAGATTGGAAATCTACGAAGCGGGAGACACTCACTCACTCGCTCTAGAAGAGGGAAAGTGGACAGATAGTTCAGGTTTATTAAAGAATCATAGAAATCTACAGTGCAGAAGGAGGCTGTTTGACTCATTGCGTCTTCAGTGGCTCTCACAGTAAACTTTATTCAATTCCACTGTTCCACTTTATCCCTATAAACCTTCAAACCTTTGTCTTTCATATACCTGACTGCTTACACAGCGAGTGATGAATACAGTGGAAAGCCATGTATCTCCATGTCAGCTATGTGTATCAGACACTAATGCGGAAGTAAATGCAGGGCATCACAGGCGTGCAAGCAACTGGACTTATTTTCTTGCTGCCAAAGTGAAGGTGTCTTTTCCGAAGTGTGGGGTTAGAGAATGTCACAGTGAGAGACACACATTAAACTCCTGTTGGATCAGGGGAGTACTGGAAAGAAACTTAAGTACAGTGTTCATGCTGATTTGGGAAAACTGCCCTATAATGGATTTGGCCCAATTTATTCTATCTCCTGGAGGACACTCATGCTCACCAAACTGCAAAATAAAGCAATAATTTTGTAATAGTCCACCATCCACACATTAAAATCTGGTTCCTTTCCATCACAGACAATATCCTCCCTACACCAGCTGGAGCATATTGGAACCCATGGAGTTTGTTAAGAACTTTACTGCCAATAGCAATGATTAATGGTTGTCTGTACGTAGATTACATATTGTGTTGAAACGTTGTGTGTCTGTTTACTTCCAATTGTCTCTCCTCCTCCCCCCCCAAATCCTTGGGTTACAGTGTTAGCCTGTTGTTACATGAGTACATCACTGCTGTAACACATGTGGGAGTGATGTGATAATAAATATAAGTGGACACATGTGTTACAGCTCCCCAGCGTAAATTGAAGATGAGAAAAAGCTCTTTGGCCATTCAGGCAAATGTCCCTTTGCCAATTGTTTTCCACATCCCACATTTCCACATCCTTCCTGCAATCATCCTATCAGAGTATTTACAGCATCGGAGGAGGCCATTCAGCCTGTCATGATAGCTGTGTTGGAGGCAAAGCCCAATTAAATTAATTAATTAATTAATTAATACCTCTCTCTGATCACTCGGCTCCCACTACCAACTTGGGTGCCAACCTAGTGTTGTTAAATGCTTTGGGATGGCCTCCAGATTTGAAAGGCGTGTACATTTAAATTTGTATTGTATATTATATCTACTTTAACCTCATTACTCTGCCCTTCCCCGAATCTTTTAATATTGCTGTTCCTCAACTATGTTTCCAATTCCCTTAAAATGCTGTTATGTATTTTTTTGGTCATCTGGGCATCTGACAAATGCGGGAACCCATCACTATTTAATTGTATCCAAACCAGACTGAGACATGTTAAGTTTAACAGCCCAATCTAGGAAGGTAATCCAGATTTTATCAACCTTGCGTAAAAACGCTCTACTTTTTTTGTGTGATGACAGTTTGGACCCATTCGTTACTGCCTCGGTGAACATATTTATATGCTTAAAAGACGAGATATATAAGTTTTAAAAGATTTTTTGTTAAAAGCTGGCAGTTAAAAACTTAATCACATTGAAATGCCTCAATGCAAATTAGAAATAATTGCTGTTAAATGTAGTGACTTTTCTAAGCAAATGAGCCGGTAAGGATGCACAACCTGCCACAAGGCGAATAAGCAATTGATCGACATGATTGTTGGCCTGGACACTGGGAGGTATTCCCTTCTTGTTTTGAATAGTGTCACGGGATCTTTAGTGTTCACCTGAGTAGGCAGTTAAGTGCTTTGAAATGTCCTCCAGACTTCAAGGCATTATATAAATGTAAATTTGTCAGGCAGTCAGGATCTCATTCGATTTAACACCTCAGCTAGAAGATGATATCTTCACTAATACAGGATTTCCCTGGATTGTACTGGGCTACTCTCATGTTACAATTTGAATATTGAGTATTAAAATATATATTTCTCTATTAAACTGAAAAACACTGTCAGCTAACCAGTGCTCTCATCTCAGTCAGAAGGCTATGGGTTCAAGCCCTATGTTCATAGAGTTATACAGCACAGAAGGAGGCCATTCGGCCCATCGCGTCTGTGCTGGCTCTTTGAAAAGAAATAAATGAATCGTAGTTGGCAGGATGTCGACGTTGGCGCTTCGAGCTCACAATCCAGGCTGACACTTGTGCAGTGCAGTGCAGGGAGGGTGTGGGAGCTGCATTGTTGCAGTTGCCATCTTCCGGATGAATGTTAAGTCGAGGTCCCGTCTGCCTGTCCAGGTGGACGTTAAAGATCCCATGGTGCTATTCGAAAAGTAAAGTGAATTTTTCCAATAGTCTTGGCCAACAACCCTCAGCTTATCAATTGGTCATTCACCTCGTAGTTGCTTGTCAGTCATTGAAAATTGACTGCTGTGTTCGCCCACAAAACCAGTCACAAGACTTTGCAGAGAAAGCCCTCTGCGGTGTGAACGACAACAAACAACAACAAATTATATTTGAATAGCGCCTTTCATGTCAAGAGGACATCCCAAAGTGCTGAAAAGATGTGGAAAGGTGAGGATTATTATTATAGGATCACGTTTTGTTTGCTGGTATATGAGGAAACTGATGATTTTGCATAACACTGCCCAACACAGACTGGGAGTTCCACATATGCACTCCCATCTGCGTGTGGAAATTTCCTTGTGTCTGGGATGGAGTGCGGGCTCTTGTCCCTGGAGGAAAGGACGCACCCTGCTTCCCTAATTCAGGGGAGTATTAGGCGCAGGTTGACGAGAGACAAGACTTGGGGACCCAGAGTGTGAGTGCATTGGGCGGGTATCCGCTGGCAGTTTTAAGAGGCTTGCGTTTGCTGTAATAACGGCGGGTAATAATACACTACAAAATTGCATGGTGTGAAAATTTGTATAGTGTGAAAGGCTTTACACAAATGTAATTTGTCACGTAATAAGGTGTGATATTAAGTACAATGATTATTATTGTTGTTGTGGAGTCCTGTAGCTCAGTGGTTAGAGCACTCGCTTTGCAAGTGAGAGACCTGAGTTCAATTCCAGGCAGAGGGCGAAACCTTGGGCAAGTTTCCTTACTCCACACAGAGCCTAATAATAATCCCTCCAAAACAAAAAACAATAATAAATTGGTCATTTTCAATCCATGACTGTTTGTGGGACATTGCTGTGTGCAATTGGCTGCCGCGTTCGCCCACAAATATACAGTCAATTTACTTTACAGTGTGTTCTGTGAAGCGCTTTGGGACGTCCTCCCGACCGGAAAAGCGCTATATCAAATGCGAGGATTATTACTATTATTACTATTATTATTATTCAAAGCACTGCCTCAGGCTCTTGGTGTGTCAAAAGATGCTCTTGCCCTGACTTTCGTCACGTGATGCGGGTGGGCCAGAGGCCGTCACGTGAGGCGGGTGGGCCTGAGACTCGCAGAGCAGCCTCACGGCGCCAGGGCCAATCGGAGCGCGTGTTGCTGGTCGGTTGCCGGAAGCGAGCGGCTGAGCTTCCGCCAAGCTGTGTGCGTGTGTGTGTGTGGTGATGCCGCGGCCCGGCTGACGGTGCGGCGCGGCCGAGAGCTTTTTGTTGCCGCCTTTTAAAAAAAATTAAAGGAGAGAAGAGACGCCCGGGGCCGGGTGTGTGTGTGTGTGGCAGGGCCCGAGCCGGCCAGCGGACAGCGCGGGGGAAAAGGTCGGCGTGTGAGCGAGGGAGGGCGGGAAGGAGGTTGCGGCGGTTGGAAGATGTCGGCCTCCGCCGTTTACGTGCTGGACCTGAAGGGGAAGGTGAGGCGTGGGAGAGCGGGCGGCGCATGCGCAGACGCTGGCTGGTGTGGTCCAGACATCCCATCACCCCATCCATCCAACTAACCACTCAACCCCCACCCTCCCAACCGCCAGCCACCCAACCCCCAACACCCGCCACCCACCCAACCCCCACCCACCCACCCCAACACCCGCCACCCCCCAACCCCCACCCACTCCCCACCCAACCCCACCACCCAACCCCCACCCACCCACCCAACACCCGCCACCCACCCAACCCCCACCACTCCCCACCCAACCCCCACTCCCCACCCACCCCACCCACCCACCCAACCCCACCCACCAACCGCCAGCCACCCACACCCACCCAGCCCCGCCACCCACCCAACCCGCCACCCACCCAACCGTCAGCCACCCACCAGCCACCCACCCAACCCCACCACTCCCCACCAACCCACCCACCCATCGGCCAGCCACCCAACCCGCACCCACCCAACCACCCACCACTCCCCGCCACCCCACCCAAACCCGCCACCCACCCAACCCCCACCACCCACCCAACCCTGCCACCCACCCAACCGCCAGCCACCCACCCAAACCCCACCCACCCGCCCGCCAACGACCGGGAAACACTCAGCGGGTCAGGCAGCATCTATTGGAGAACGGGAAGTGAGTTAACGTTTCGGGTCCGCGACCCTTCGTCAGAAGGCGTTCTTGGTTCTGACGAAGGGTCGCGGACCCGAAACGTTGACTCACTTTCCTTTCTCCATAGATGCTGAGTGTTCCCAGCCACTTCTGTTTGTATTACTGTAAAGTGGTTTGACTGTATTTTGCGCACAGCAATGTCCCACAAACAGCCACACAGTGAGCTAACATGTTATCTGGGGGCTTGTTGGCCAGGACAACAGGAGAAACTCTCTTCTCTTTTCAAATTGCTGCCATGATGGGGGGTGGGGGGAGTCTTTAACTTCCAACTGAACAGGCAAAACAGACCTCGGTTTGACATCTCATCCGAAGGACGGCAACTCCAACAATGCAGTTCTTCCCCCAAGCAGTGTGCTGGAGTTTCAGCCTGGATTGTGTCGGCACCTCCGACAAATGAGACACACCCTCAGATCTTCGATTGTGATTCAAAGATACAATCAATCCCCAGGGCAACCTCTCCCAGTGCCTCGCCTCCCAGCCGTTAGCAACTTTGTCGACGATTGAATGCCGCAGCACTCCAGCCTTCTGCCCTTCGCAAAACGACCATGGAGTGAACGAACGACCAGTCGAGTTTCAGCCTCGCCTGGTTTGGTCATGCCCTCGCCTCTTGAGGCATTGAGTCAACAGACAATTGTAGGTTCAAGCTCTGAACCCAACACTGGACTCATAGTCTAGGCTGCCGCTTCCAGTACAGTGCTTAGGGGGAGAGCTACATTGTCGGAGATGACATCCTTCAGATCAGAGGTTAAACAAGGTCCTTTCTGTCTGTTCAGGTGTACGTTAAAAATCCCTTGGTACTATTTGGAATGATAATGTGTGTCAGCCTGGCCCAGTGGTAGCACTCTCGCTTCTGAGTCAGAAGATTCTGGGTTTGGGCACCTCTTAACATTGCAGTACATCCCCAGCACTGGACTGTCAGCTTTTAGACTGTAAGAGTTCCAAGTCCAAAAGTGGGGCTTAAACCCACAATCTTGTGACTCGGCGGCAGATTGTGTGTGGTCCGAGGGTCTTAGATGGCCCAAAGATTCTTCTTTCCTTGGGAGTAATACCTCTTGTACCTTTGCATTGGTTTCACTGATATTGCTTGGAAAGTTTTCATGTTAATGTTTCTGCCTTAGTACAATAGCTTTTTGAATTGTGGCCCATCCCAAATCTTCGTATCACTCATAATCAATGCCATTTTTGTTTAAATTGTGTATCATAATTAGAAACTAGTGCTTGCTTCCTGCGTTTAAATAGGCTTACACTTTCCTCCAGAGTGGGAAAAGATACCCTTGTTGCAAGGCAAAGCTTTGCAAGTTCAGCCATGGCAATATTTGGTGTCTGCGTGCGAAAAGGGAAATCAGCTCTTGATATAAAAATTGCTTTCAATTCTCTTGAGGACCCACTTGCTGGAAGGTGTGTGTGGATTTCAGGTTATTGAACAAGATACAGGGTTGGGATCTGCTGTAATTCAGTGTTGCCGAGGCTGACACATGAATCATATTTGGTTGAAGTACCTGAAGATGTTTTTGTAGCTTGTGGAACTACTCAGCACATGGAGATGAGAAAATTGATGGAGTAGGGAGAGAGAAATGGTTTTGCGGTTTATATCACTTCTCTGATCGTAAATCCACTTTGACTCAATTGATAGCATTTTGCATGTGGCTCAGATCATTTGGACTCAAGTCTGACTTCCCAGTGCAACACTGAGGGAGCACTGCATCCTTTGGATGAGATACTAAACCAGGACCCCTAGTAGATAAGCCTGATCTAAGCAACTTATTGGATTGTTCTCTTAGTATAGCCATTGGTCATTCCTTATCCAAATTCATACAACAGTCATTAATTAGTTATTTATCTCATTGCAGATTGTATAAAATTGCCTGTACTCTGCATTTGAATGTATAAATAATTACACATCAAAGTAACTGATTTTGTGAATGGGTTAAAGCAGTTTGAAATGATAAAATTAAGTCAGATTTCTGGTTTTTTTCACTCAACATTTGCTGCAGTTGAAAGTTCTCCATTTTGTCGAGCGCGATACGTGATCAGTTTCACAATCTCCCTGTTCAGTTCTTGTTCCTGCACCATAGTGTAGTTCTGCAACGTTATTCTTATTAGAGCATGACTAGTTTATGACATTGTTCTTCCTCCATACACTGTTGTGGCTCTGCTCTTTCCTAGTTTCACTCCTGGCTGTCCTGGCATTATCGTGTGGTTTCCCTGAAGGAATTTTTCATTACCTACATGGGTCCCCTTTGATGACTTTATCCTCGGTGTGGGGTCCACTTCCACATTTTCACAGATGACACACAACTCTGTCTTTCTGTCTCTGTTCTTGATTCCAGAACCACTGATGTTCTGACAAACTGACTGTAAGACACCAAATCCTGGATGATCAATTTAATGTTGACAAAACTGAGGCCAACCTGCTTTGCTCCCTCCAGCACCTACTCACCTCAAGTGCTGTTTTGATTTCTCTGGTTTCTCACTCTCAACTCACGGAGCCTGTGCAGACCCACTGCAGTTTGTTCGACTTTCAACTCTCCTTCAGACTTTTTATCTGGGCTCTGACCAAGTCCGTTTTCCTCCATCTTTTCAATCTTGTTTACCCCATCACTATCTCACCCTCAATGCAGCCAAACTCCCCATCTTTTTGACTGGTTTGAGTCACTTTCCCCCTGCTTCCCTCCTACCCCTGGTTCCCTCGCAGCTCGGACTCCCTGCTACCCCTGGTTCCCTCGCAGCTCGGACTCCCAACTCAGCCTTTGTAAACCTCTTTGAGATATTTTGCCCATGTGAAAGGTGTCAATATGTAGTTGATTAGTGAAGAACTTTGTGTCCAGCTGTCTTTCCCATGAGTTCTTCCTTGTGTTAATGCAGTATTAACACAGAGGAAGTGATCTGTGTTGCTTGAGCTTACTGCTTCCCAGGGAGAAAAGTATGCCAGGATTTTCCTAACCATGCAGACTGTAAAGATGACTGGAGCCAGAATTTTCACATAAACTCTACACTAAAGAGGTTAGATTGATTGTTCCTTAGCTGCCTATTTCCATACCAAGATGGTAATTAACTATTGGAACAAATTACCAGGAAGGGAGGTTGAGGCCTGGATGCTGGCCTTGTTTACAAAATAGCTTGATGCTGTGACAGCAAGACGGTATCTGGAAGGCTGAAGTAGGCCAAGAAGCCATCTTCTTCTGAAACGATCTTGTGAAACTGCTTCCTATTTGTGTGCTACAATGGAGGGCTTGAAACCCTGGTTTCCTGTGGCCACAAATTAATTATTCTGTGGTATGATTTTGGTAGGGGAGTTCACAGGCTGATTGGTTATTTATGGATGATGTATTTTATAATGAAATGCAAGGTAATAAAAGTGGTGGGGGAGAGAGAGTGATACAGAAGCAAACAATTTAGTTGGGAAGAAAGAAGTCATACTTTTGCAATAATATTTGATTCTTAACAAGAGTGCAAGGAAACTGAGATGCTGAATTAATTGTATATTTTGGAGGGATAGGAAACAGACTGTAGGAAATGGCTTCCTCAATGGTCCATTTCATGGAGAGAGGTTACAGTGCTTCATGTCATTTTGGTTACACTACATCTGGCTGCTTTGTGTGTTTCTGGTTGCCATATCATATTGCAGAATTGGAAAAAGGATAACATGGATTTACAAGGATGTTACCAGGTATGAGAGGATACAGATGTCAAAAGAGAATGACCAGGTTTACTTTCTCTCTAGAGATGAGACAGTTGAGATGGAGACCTGTTAGAGGTGTTTAAGATTACGAAAAAGATTTGATGGGATGAATATTGATATTCTGTTGGTGAGTCCGAAATGAGGGGATATAAATATAAGATAGCCAGTAGCAAATCTAGAAGGGAGTTTAGGAGGAACTTATTTATGTAGGAGAATGTAGAACTCACTGAGGAAAAAATCAATATATTTAACTTGATGCATACATGAGCCTTAGGGAACCAGTGACAGCTTATGTGGAGCATAAACACCGGCACGCACCAGTTGGGCTGAAAGGCCTATTTCCATATCACACTATGTACCTTTGTCACCAACTCCGAACAAGGTGATTAAAATGTGACCTGCAGAGGGTCTGGGTTTCAATGTGACATTCACTGCAAACTGAATAGAAGCAAACTGAGATGCTAAATTAATTGTCTCAAAAGTTTTCCCTATTAGCAACAAAATGTTAAACATTAGGATTGCCCTCAATCCTGTAGAGTTCATTTTCTTGTTTACCAGTGTAAGGTGACAGTCATATGTTTGCATGTGACTGGCTGTTGCTGGTAGCCAAGTTCTCATACAGCCTGCAGTGTTGTTATTATGAATATGTTGTTTGTGCACTTNAAAAAAAGTCTCTCTTTTGTCTCTCGCAACAGCTGTTTGCCAGTGTAAAGTGAGCTACATAGCCCAGAGAAGACATGCTAGTTGATTGCAGCTAGTGGTAAGGTTACTGCAATTGCCCCCAGAACTCCAGAGCCTGAGAGGGGGTACATCTGAATCTGAAGAGGGCAGAATTGGGCTCAATATGGTCACGTTGCCTCTTAACAGCATCTGGGCTCAGGGTATCGGCTATGGAATGAGTATCCAGGTTTGGCTCCAGGATCAGTGCTAGGTTTGGCTCTGGGATCCAGGCTGAGAAAATCTCTAACAGGAAGAATAGAAATACTAACCCGAAGCAATGTTCCCTTTAACAAATTTAAATCAAAATTATTAATCAGTTGAAAAGCAATTCCAGCTGTAATCTGACGTTATTTTAATATAAAAAGGTATTGCGCTAATTCATCATGCAAATCACCGATGCCCCATGTGGGCCTGAGCAGTAATTAATGACTCGAATGGAAACCTTTGCTGTGGGATGGAATCTGACACAAACGATATTAATATTTACATGAATAAAATATGAAACATTTCAACAAATTCTGCAAAACACAGCTGTGGTGTGGATGAGTCAATCTGTTTACAGAGTGACATCTGTTTTAGCCCCTCGTTTTTTCCAGACTGCTGTAATCCTTCCTGTGTCTTCCGAAACATATGATGACCTTATATTAAGGGGATGCTAGCCCAAGTGAAGGGCACTATGTAAATGCAAGTTGTTGTTGTTTTAATGGTTTCGCCCACAAATATACAGTCAATTCACTTTACAGTATATTCTGTGAAGCGCTTTGAGACGTCGAGAGGACGTGAAAAGCGCTATATCAAATGCCAGGATTATTATTATTATAACACAATCTCTGCTTCAAAACCAAACTCTGATTCCAACTAATCATTTTATTTGATTTTAAGTGGAGCAGCCAGCAGAGAACATGGCAACAGTTGACCATCTCCAATGTAATTTTACCTTCAAGCTCAATCAGGAGCTCGGGTGTGGAGATCAGTCAATAGAAACTTATGCATACACATGTTTTCTGTTTCTTTTTTTTTGTTCTGTCACCAAAATCCTTTTCTTGATTAGGTTTGCAAAGGGGTTATCACATTGCCCCCTCAATTGTAGGGTGTTTGATTCCAGTTGTTGGAATGAGAATGAAATTAAGTGGTAAGAGAAAGGTCAACGTTTAGTTTCAGAATTGTGCTGTCCGGGGCTCCTTTATAGGATTGATGTGATAGACAAGCAGAACCCAATCAAGAAAGTCAAGACACTAGGAAGAAATTGAACATGAAGAGATTGGGGGATGATGGAAAGGGTTATTAAAGTTTAGAACGCAGTTTGATAGGCAGCTATTGTTATGATCAGGACCTAAGAATGCACAAGACAGTGCATATTATTTTGTTTAATGTTCTTCATTGGCATAAGTTAATAACACATACTTTGGAATAATTTAGTAATTTTATTTGGGGTGTAGGGATGACTGCTGCAAAAAATATAATAATAATAACCCTTGTATTTGCTTTATAAGAATCACAACTGTTTCTCCTTTTAATGGCTTAATGGGGAAAGGCTCACTTGGTACGTTGGTACAATGCCAAGTAAAATAGAGCAGAAGGTGGCGGATTTGAATCCTGATCTGTGCTGAGCTGGCTGATCCCAGTCAGGGCAGGCGATGGGCACTGAATTGACCAAAGTGCCACCTAGGTTAAGGAGGGGAATGTTGTCCAGGGTTGCTCTCTGTATTGGCTTGTGTGCATAAGTTGGGTGGGAAAAAGGTCAGGGTGGCTTTTGTATCCTTACAGTCAAATAGCCTGACTTGTTGTGAAGGCTCGCACATAATAATATAATAATAATCCTTGGATTTGATGTAGTGCTTAGCATGTCTTCGACGCGTCTCAAGGCGCTTCACAGGATGTATTGTAAAGTGGATTGACTGTATTTTGTGGGCGAAACATGGCAGTCAATTGGTAGAGGTTGGTCTCAGTCCATGATAAAAATCTGTGTTCTGCAGCATCACCTGTTACCAGCACAGTTTGAAAAATTCACAGCAGTTTACAGGTGTTGTATACATATACAGTGTTATTTATTAACAGAAAATTGTTTTGGACATGTTCTATTCTGGATCATTTCAGTAAGACTGATGAGTTTATTCATCAACCTCAGAGGTTCAAAGTCTGCAACATTACTTACCTTGTCTGCTATAATTCGCTTTCAAAATTCCATGCTGTCCCCAGTTCTTCTACTGAACAACAACAAGAAGATTACATTTGTCTAGCGCCTTTCATGTTGGGAGGACGTCCCAAGGCGCTGGACAGTGTACAGCATTTCAGACCCGAGCTGGGGTTGGGGGGGCAAAGGGAGGGTAGGGGAATAAGGGTGGCCGATAGCCTGGTCAAAGAGGAGGGTCTTCAGGCGGGACTTGAAGGAGGCTAAGGAGGGGGTGAGGCGGAGTGACTGAGGGATGGAATTCCAGAGGTTGGGGGCAGAGTGCCTGAAGGCTCTCCCGCCAATGGGGCAGGTGGGTCAGGGGACGTGGAGCAGGCCGGAGCCGGCTGAGCGGAGGGACGGGGCGGGTTGGTAGGGGTTTAGGAGGTCACAGAGGTAGGGTGAGGCGAGGCCATTGTATGTGAGGACCAGGATCCTCTGAAGGATAGGGAGCCAGTGGAGTCGGGCGAGAGTGGGGTAGATGGGGTCACGGAGTTTGGTGCGGGAGAGGACACGGGCTGCAGAGTTCTGGATTATCTGCTGCCTGTGGAGGGAGTGGTTGGGAAGGCCGACAAGCAGGGTGTTTGCATAGTCGAGCCTGGAGGTGATGAAGGCATGAACAAGAGTTCCAGCGGCCTGAGGGGTGAGGTAGTGGCGGAGTCAGGTGATGTTGCGGAGGTGAGGGAAGGCAGAGCGGGTCATGGCTTGGATGTGGGGGAGAAACAATAGTTGAGGGTCGAGCAAGACACCGAGGTTCCTGACTGGCTTTAGTGTGCTACCATGGAGGTTGATGTTGCCAGAGCCTGAGGTGCTGAGGAGGGCCTCAGTCTTGTTCACATTCAAGTGTAGGAAATTTGCCCTCATCCAGGACTTGATGTCCGACAGGCAGTCTGTCAGCACAGCAGCGGTCCTTTAATTTCAGAGACAAAGTAAAATCTCAGAAAGTTTTGTGAAAGTACTCAAACAGCAGCATGGTTGCTTCAGGCAAGTACCGTGGAATTAAATCTCTTTTAATTCTCTTTAGAACCATAGGTTGTTTTGACCTTTTAATTCTCAAAGGAGCTGCTTCACGCTTTTTTGCGGGGCTTCGGTTAATTCACAAGCATCAACTAAGCCACACTCAAACCATCCCCTCTGCCCTCCTGCAGCAAGTAAAATCACAGAAAGTTCTGCCACTCTATGACGATTGTCCGAATTGTAAAAACTCCAGCGAAATGTCCCTTCATTGCTGCATCATCAGAAATATCTAAAAATCTCAAAACTATGATTTAGCCAGTTTTATTCCCAATTTTCCCTTAAATAGTAAATGGTCAAATGTTTCCTTGTCTTGAATATAATGAAGCCGCTCAATCATAACTGGGTCAAACCTGCCATAAATTCTATCTGACCCAAACAAATCTATGAACTGTGTGTGTTTGTGGAGTACCTTGCTTATACCGTGGAAAGCCATATGTCTATCAGCCAGGAACTAATTTCTGGCCATTTTCACCTTCAGTGATTCCTTTTTCTCTGCTAAAGTCTGCCTGTATCTTAATCTTGCTTCAAGGTCTTTTCAATACAGGGTGTATCCCACATCCTTATGCACTGTAAATGATGTTGCAAGCCATGCATAGATGTTTCTGCTGCAAAGCAGGAGCTGATGCCAAATCTTTTGAAGCCAAATTAAACCAATAGAAGATAACCACATGTACTGAACTCTTTCACCATTGTTCAGATATAGTTATAATTAACTGCTTTTCAACTATAATAATAATAATCCTTGCATTTGATATAGCGCCTTATCGGGTCTTCGAGACGTCTCAAAAAGCTTTGCGGAATATACTGTGAAATGTAATGACTGTATTTTGTGGGTGAAACCATGCTATCCTATAGTGAATGTTTTCAGCAAATTATGGCAATGCGAAAAACGTTTGGATTTAATCTGCAACGTGAAAGCCCTTACACATGTTTCAGTAAAATAACTGAAGACATTGTGGAAATGTTTCTTCCAACAAAACGGGCAAGGTAAGTAATATGTCAGGCATATCATTGAAACGTCTCGAAGCACTTCACAGAATATACCGTAAAGTGAATTGACTGTATTTTGTGGGCAAAACTAAAATACCTCATTGATGGATATTTTGTAATTCTACATCATGTACATGTTTTGTGTTTCTCAGGTCCTGATTTGTCGGAATTATAGGGGCGATGTGGAGATGTCGGAAATTGAGCACTTTATGCCTATTTTGATGGAGAAGGAGGAGGAGTGTTCCCTGACACCCATCCTGTCACACGGAGGCGTCCGATTCATGTGGATTAAACACAACAATCTTTATCGTATCCTTCAGTAAGATAGTTCTGAGCAGCCGATCTTTAGAATCAAATGTCAATGATCCTACTATTCTATTGAAGTGGATTTTGCCCAGAAAGAGGGTTTTAGTTTTCAGAATATGGCCATCACCACAGACCCTTTCATGAATGTCACATTTTTATTTTGACATTAATAGGATTTGAGAGCTCAGCTGTGAGGTAAAGACTGACACATCAATTGCTTTGGGCCATTGTGCACTCCAGAACTTTGTTGCGTGAAGGAATCATGTTATGGCTTTAGTTCATGTTTGTATATTTATTATACAATTGATCGTATTTACTTTAAGACTGATATTTCTCAACGTGAGTGCCAATGAGTGCCATTTTATCACATAGTTCCCTGAATAACACAGAGAATTAAATAGCTGTTGAGCATTCTGACATCCTAAACTCTCTGATGCACTATGTTTACTGCTTCCCCACAAATGGATCAGCTACATGCAATGGCTTTCCAAGTAACACGTTCCTTGATTTTTCTTGGGTGTCTCCCAAAGTGGGCCCACTGAGTGATTTCGGAAAATCAGTCAGAATGTAGTTTTGCTTAGGATGACCAGAGACAAAGGACAAAGATCGGACGCTTTGTACCATTACTCAACATTCTTCCGCAGATCCATCTAAGCTTGCGAGGTCAGCTAAAACAAACCATACTATTTCAAGTTTCTGGACCAGTGAAGATTTTCCTTAAGAAGTGTGGAATTAGTAAATCATTGTGCTCAGTGTGACACAAATGAGCTAATTGCCAACTCTTTGAATACACAACTTTGAGAGCATTCTGTACTCGCATGATAGGCCCCTTGGGATCCATGTCGAAAATGTCTTATGAAATTCCAAACAAAAGGTATATTTGTACTCATGACAGCTGATTTTTTTTAAAAAAATCGATTGCGCAACATTTCAAGCTAAATGCATTGAATTTTCAACCAAAAAATTAAAACTTGCAATTTTTAATGTACAAAGGAATAAGATTGGATTCATCTTGTAAGAACTATGTAATCATGATGATCTTTGTATTTGATATAGCGCATTTCATGGAGACTGTCTCAAAAGTTCTTCGCAGGATATATTGTATAATTTAGTGATTGTATATTATTGCGGGACGAAGCCGCCAATTTGTGCACAGCAAAGTTCCAGCCATGAAGTAAATGATCTCCAGGATTGTTGGCCAGAACAGCCAGAACACTCTCCCTTCTCTAATTATTGTTGTTTCGAATTGGAGCGAAGAAACTCTCCCCGAGTCTCTGGAATTTTCTTTCTAGTTTTTGTAAGAATCTGCTCAGTGTCAGTAAGAGTCCATTTACGTATATTAGCCTTAATCGCTTTGCAGTTGTTGCTACCTCCAAGAAGAACGCATGTGTATCTCTGGTATTTGCTTTCCTCTATAAGGTGGTTCAGGTAAGAACGTTCTTGGTTCTCACTCCCCCGCCCTCAAATAATAGCTATTATTCAGTAAATTGCTAAGAGGAGTTACTTTATTCAACACATCTTTCTTCAAAACCTAATTAACTGACTTTTGAGAAGGAGGAATTGCTGGTATTTTGTTGTAATCTGAATCGGAGGAGGAAAAAAGCAGTTTGTGGTTTAGCTCTGCTGTCCAGGGTCTGACTGAAGCATTTTTCATCTATCTCCACCTTCACGTGGCTCTAATATTTCATGAACATTGTCCTTTTAAACCAAGTGATGGTGCGCTCATGGTTTGGTTGTGTATTGCGAGGGCAGTGGCTTTCTGCATACATCACATGTGTGGCCTTTGCTTTTGCTTAGAATTTCTTGATCCCATCCACCGCTTATAGCTGAATTCCCCTGTATAAAGATATTATTTTCTAACCTAGCTAACCATGTGCATCCACGGTTGCACACTCCACCTCACCAAGCCAGTTAGGAACTTGGGCGTCTTGTTCGATCCCCAACTGTCCTTTCTCCCCCATATCCATGCCATGACCTGCTCTGCCTTCCCCCACCTCTGCAATATTGCCCAAATCCACCACTGCCTCACCCATCAGGCTGCTGAAATCCTCATACACGCAATCGTCACCTCAAGGCTCAACTATAGAAACTCCCTCCTTGTAGGCCTCCCCAACTCTTCCCTCCATAAGCTGCAGTCTGCAGCTCGTGTCCTCTCCCGCACTAGGCTCAGTGACCCCATCACCCCCACCCTCGCCCAGTTCCACTGGCTCCCCATCCCTCAGAGGATAGAATTCAAAATTCTCATCCTCACTTTCAAGGCCCTCCATGGCCTTGTCCCCTCCTGTATCTCTGACCTGCTGACCCCCTATCAACCTGTCCTCTGCCTCGGCTCAGCATGCTCCGGCCTGCTCCAGGTCTCCCGTCCGACCCACCATACCATTGACAACAACAACAAGATTCCATTTATAGAGCACCTTTCACGTTGGAAGGACGTCCCAAGGCGCTGGAGAGTTGGGTCAGGACCCGAACAGGGGGGAAATGGTCAGGGTGAGGGGAGGGAAGGGAGGGAGCGAGGAGGGGGTAGAGAGTCGAGAGGAGAGCTGAAGGCACGGTCAAAGAGAAGACGGCTGGGCTATCAGCCTCTCTGCCCCCACTCTTTGGAACGCCATCCCACAATCCTTTTGCCTTGCTCCCTCTCTTGCCTCCTTCAAGGCACGACTCAAGACTCTCCTTTTTGACCATGCCTTCAGCTGCCCTCCTACCCCTTCTGCCTTCTCTCATCCTAACCTGGCCCCACACACTCGGGTCCTGATCCCTGACTGTTCAGCGCCTTGGGACGTCCTCCCGACGTGAAAGGCACTTTACAAATGTAATTTTGTTGTTATTGTTGTAGCTAGAGGAGCTGCTTAGAACAGAGAGACTCCCTGAGATCTTTCTTCAAGGTGCATTAGAGATAAAAGCTGCCTTTCTTTCCGAATTACATTCCTAATTCATTCTTTCCAATCTCTTCCAGGTATTTTCTGAGTATTTTAAGGAACTGGAAGAAGAAAGTATTCGAGATAATTTTGTTATAATCTATGAGTTGCTGGATGAGTTGATGGATTTTGGTTACCCACAGACCACAGACAGCAAAATCCTACAGGAGTAAGTGTACTCCTGCACGATTTACATTTATATATTCTTTTTTTCCATCATGGGGCCATAATTTGGAGATTTTGTTCACATCTATGACCAAGCTGTGGTACTTGGCACTCTTTCTCTGTTTCTTCAAATAAGCAGCAGAGGGTAGTAGGAGCTGAGGTTTGGAATTCGAATTAAATGTTTCTGATCCTAAGCCTTGGAAATCTTCTTAGTGAAGATGATTTGGAGATTGTTTGATATTGCTTGTTCCACACTAATAATAAGGCAAATAGGGTAGATTCCAACAACAGCAACAAGAACAACTTGCATCCCTCACGCAGGATAGCATCCCAGAGCACTTGACAGATTAATACAGGGACAAGGGAGATGGTGTCTGTCTCCACTATCTCTCCCTAGGTAGCCTATTCCATACATTCAATCTGCTGTGTGTAAAATAGTTAACTGTATTGTGATAGTCTACGTTCCCATTTAACATTCTGCTATCTCTTGCTCTGTTCCCGTTCCTCATTCTTTATTCCTTCACTCATAAATGTTGTGCTGCTTTAGTTCATAGAAGTACAGCAATGGCCAACCTATTTGCTGACAGAATCAGTAAGAAATGTTTTCCCTTGCCAACAAAAATATTTTTTAATTAAATACAGATATGCCTTTATGCAGTTCTCTCAATCTATGGTAACAGTTTGTTTTTAACTGGGCAGCTGGCTGTTGTTACTATCTGTCCATTGTAGCACAGAATTTATTGACCGACCACCCACCCAGTTCTAGAATTTTTTTTAATGTTTCCTAAATTGGGCCTTTAGTATATATGTCCCTTGGTGTATGTTATCCCAGCATGTCTGTACCATTATTTAGCAGTTGAAATGGAGGTTATCCAAATCTAGCTGTAACAGTCCGGTAAACAGAAGTACTTGTGAAAGCAAGTGTCTTGTGTATATTTTGGGGCTAAGTACTTATCACTGATAATACTTAACCAGACAGATGTTGCTCTTGAAACAACAACATGGACTTATACAGCATCTTTCACATAGGATGAATGTCAAGAAGGGCTTCGCAAAGTCAATTCTCTTCAAACTACTGGCTCAATATGAGTTTTGTCTAAACTAGCTTGGCGTTTTCCAAAAGCTTTTAGTTGAATTTGAGGATTAGTTGATTGAGTCTTTAAAACCTGCAGCGTTTAACTGAGGGTCAATATGTGAAAAAAGGAAGAATAAAAAGAACTGTAAGTTTTGTAGGAGAAATGGTCCAAAACATTCAACTTTTGATTCGCTTCCCAGAGTTTTTTTTTAAGCTGGAGGAAGTAACTGCCCCATGGCTAGTTGGCAGGTGCAGAACTCTTTCAAGATGTTCCTATTCATATCTTACCTTCCAATTCTTCAGACTGTGTTGTATTGAAGCTGAGAATTGCTAATTAATCACAGAGGAGCTTTAGTCTCCAGATGGTGGATTGAATAGGCAGAGAGTCCCAGATCCACCATTTTAAGTTAATCAGGCCATGGGCTAAACAACCCAATTTTAGTCATTTACTTAACTTGTTCATTCCTTTCCTCAGGTACATTACCCAGGAAGGTCACAAGCTAGACACTGGAGCACCTCGTCCACCAGCAACAGTCACCAATGCCGTGTCTTGGCGATCAGAAGGGATCAAGTATCGGAAAAATGAAGTATTTCTCGATGTTATTGAATCTGTCAATCTTCTGGTGAGTTAATGAACCTCTACACCCAGCATCACCATCAATTCTGCTGGTAGTGCTGTTGCAAACTTAGGAGGACTTCTTCAGATAATAATAGTGATACTATTGTTGTTATTTTAATTTCATCAGTTAAATTGCTATTCTGAATTTAAGACGCTTTGAGTTTGATTCGGGTCAATTACAGTACTGCACAACCGTGAATACGCCTGTAACGCAACATAGACTGCTATGTTATTGGAGTTTAAAACACTCAGTTTAAACTGGACGATTTACTTTTATGTTGGATCTCCCCGCCATCCCATCACACCAGCCTATTTATACTGCTCATCGAACCTGAATTTTTACCAGTTCCCAAATTGATCTCCCATTTTTGCAAACCACCAGAACTTAGCATTTTATTATATGATGGTCTTAACAAGTTCTGTGGTGTATGTTTTTTTAACCTTTGTAAGTGTGGCTTAACTGGGTCAGGTGCTGAAACAAAACCTTGGCTGAAATGAATGGGTGTCTATTCTCCACAGATGGAAAATTACACAATTGTAAAATAATAAGAGCACAGAAATGAGGCATTTGACCCTTTAATAAGTCAGAGCTGCCTCCGCATGAGCCATTGACTTGAATCCTACTCAGTCTACTGTGTACTTCATATTCCCTTTAACATTCCTCTTCCTCAAACGTCCATCCCAGTGGTGAACAACCCGTGTTCATCGGTAGTGTGTTTCCAGGTCTCGCTTGATTGAATATTTTTTGATTCATGGCGTAAATCAAGAAATGTTCAATTAAGAAAATTTACTTTGTGGCCAACCAAAAAGGTCTATCCAGTTTCACTAAAATTTCTGGATTTTGCCTCAACAATTATGGTTGGGGACTTGAGATGCAGGAAAAACCTGGTCAATGGGATGTTTTGACTCTTGCGTACAAACAGGAAGTTTCATAACTCAGTTATTTGCCTTTGCTCGCAAACCACCAGTTTTATTTTGGTAGTGTTTGCAGCAGTAAATACAGCAATTTACAATTAAATAAAAGTGCCAGTGACTATAAGGATTGCGTGTGACTTTAGGCCACAATGTAAACTGCAGTTAGGCGCTGCATCTCAGGGTTCACGTGGATTGATCTAGAGAAGAACTCAATTGCTTGCACGTTATTCAGTTAGATATGTACTGGAAAAAATTACTCAATATCTCATTGCATCAACATCGATGCTTGAGTATATTGCACCAGGCAGTTGTGACATGATTCAAACCCTCAATTCCCCACAAGGCGAGTCTCTGATCTCACACTTACAGCTAAGTCGCTGCTGGGCAGAGGACATATGTTTTCTTGCTCGGCAGAAGAGCACCTTTGGCCTCTTACGTTCTTTCTAATGGCGTGTCTCATCAAGCGTGTCTTTGCCAGAACCCTCTGTGGAGAATGCCACGGTCTTGGTTTAACTCTGGCCTGATTACACAATAATCCAGTTCATGTTTGTGTTCCGTGTGTTCGCCCATTTAATGTTACAGGAGAGTGTTATATTAAAATGGGGGCTAGGGTGCAACATTGTCAAATTGGACTCCTTAAAAATTAAACCACGAGGGATTCCTCCCAGTTATCCTCCCAAGTGAGGCCAATCAGTGGAAACGCTGTTCCAAAAATAGATTACATTGAAGCAGGGTTCACACAGGTTAGTGACACATACTTGCAGTTTCTTTATGAGGGAATCGGATTTGAGATCGCTGCACATTAGACACAGCATTGGTGAAAAGTCTAGAATTTACCTGAAGAGTAATTTGCATCTTTACTGCCTTAACTGGAATATTTGGACTCATGATTATTTCAAGCTGATTACTCAATTAGCTGGGACTATGAACTGGTTGGGTTAGAAAATTGTATTCTTTGTTAATGTGATAGCTGGGTGTATAAAAACCTTCTGATATTACTCTACAGAGACCCTACGAGTGGCTCAATTGTAGGGCCTCCTTCCTAGAATCTCTGCAGCCCTCAGATGTCTGTCCTTGATCCAGCTCTACATCATCCCATTGAACATGAATACTTGATCCACACTGAACACACACTAAATCACTGAACCCATGTACCCAATAATCACTACTCAAGCAACCCAAGTTTTCCCACCACTCAATAAATACTTACACCACAGTCTACAGAACTATTCCAGATCTTCCAGTGTGGTGTAACCCATACCTACCTATTCATGAAAGGACAAATTCTGCTGAACAAAAGTGGGAGGAGGGACAGTGCTATAACAATGATGTGGTTGATGGTCTTGCTTTCTACCCCCCTAGGTCAGTGCAAATGGAAATGTATTACGTAGTGAAATAGTGGGATCTATCAAAATGAGAGTATTCCTCTCAGGAATGCCGGAACTGCGACTTGGATTAAACGACAAAGTATTGTTTGAAAACACAGGACGTAAGTATAAATTCTATTAGCTGTTTTCTCAGGCAGAACACAAGATTGTAAGAAGCACAGTATTCCTGGTTTGCTTTGTCAAATCTTTAGCTTGGATTTTTTTTCTAGAGAAGCATTGCTTTTTTTTCTAGCGATGCTTTGCAAGAAAAAAAAAGTAACTGTGCAGGATGATACCTCTTCTACTTCAACAGCAACTTATAGATGTTGCCGCCTTCACGTCGGGAGGACTTCCCAAAGCACGGGTCAGTCAAGGATGTGCACCTAGGCTGGGTTTTGGGATTAGGGAGGATGAGGGTAGGAAGGTGACCAAAGGCATGGTCGAAGAGGAAGGTCTTGAAGTGGGCCTTGAAGGAGGCAAGGGAGGGGTTGAGGCGGGAAAGGCTGTGGGATGGAGTTCAAAAAGGTGGGGGGCAGAAAGGCTGAAGGCTCGTCCGCTGATAGTGGGACAGGCCAGAGTCTGCCGAGCAGAGGGAATGGATAGGCCTATCCATTCCCTACGTCACTTAATAAATAGTTTAGATGTGGTTGACGAGATTCTGACATCTCAAAGTCTCAATATTAAATCACACAGGTCGGTTAACAGAGGAACTTACCTAGTTTCGTGCAGCCTGTCTTCCGTGAGCTATATGAACACAGTGGAGTGGTCTGTACGAAGCTTTCACACGCCTTGTTGCTCCCACTGAAAAGTGAACGCAAACAAGTTATAGAAAATAATCCTTAAAACTACGAATGTTGTTTTTACAAAGCCTACCAGTTTCCAGATGATCTATTGGCCACCCTATCTCTTGTCTAAACACCACAAGCTGTTTTGTCTGTACCAGCAATCCTCATGTTTCCTGCAGTCAGGAAGCAGCTCAGCCTTGCCAAGCCATTCCCATTACATCCCACTTGGTGCCTTGCAATTTCACCTGGCAACAAAGTGGTTGTGCACTGTTGATTTAAACAGTCAGTCTCTCGTGATGACGCTGGCCAAGTTAATCGTCCTCTCATCTTGTAAATTGTTCGACTAAAGTATTGTTTTCATTTCAAGGCGGCAGCAGTCGCTCAGGGCATCAGTTGCGACAGTTATAATATGCAGCAATAGAAAAGAAAGGCAGACATTCCTTTTATTACACAAACCCAAAGAGTCGGGAAGTAATAGTTCACTGACACCTGCTGTTTAAGTTAACATATGTGTGTACAGCGTCTCGGAGGAGAGAGAGGCAATGGGGGGGGGTGGGGTAAGAATTATACACCTTGGACAAGGTGCTACAGAGCTGACAGCACCTGTAGAGCTGAGCCCCAGGAGGACAAAAGAATGGATTCATTTTCTTGTTAACTGTGAGAGGCCAGTTCCCAGCCCCAAAGTAATTTTGCTCAATAGCTATTGAGTTCCTGATTTATTTTCATATATATTATAGTATTTCTAAACTTTTTTGATATTTTTCTTTTAAAGGTTGTTATTCGACTTTCATTTTTGCCAAAAGTCATGAAAAGGGGCAGTTGTAAAGATTGTTGTCGGTGTTTTAGCTTATCTTAAAGGCACGTCTCCATTCTTGTGTCGTTCAGCTCAAATACTTGTAAAATCTTGTATTTCTTACTGGAAGAAATTAATCTCTTGCTTTGCTCACTGGGAAGTTGCCAGGTTGTGTTGCGCTGAGAGCCAGGGGAGAAGCTCAGCTGATGCTTGTGTCGGGACCGTCAGCAAGCAGCTGTTGTTGTGGTAGTGCATGTTGGCACCTTTCCCGGCCTTAAGGCTGTCAGCAAAAAATCTTTCCCCCAAAAAAAAGTTTTTAATCAGCTGGGACTGCAGTGTAGGTGGGCTAGAACAGTCCTTCAAAAATGTCTGTGTTGACTTAACGCTGGACGTGTCTCTTATCGCAAGAGTCTTGCTTCTTTTTGTAGCCGTTCTTCTTTGTCTTCGTGTTTTGCGCACTCCCCACTTCTCTTACCGGTGCTTTTGCTTTCTGTTCCTTACAGGCTTCTTAATGTCAGGCACAACCTGAACAAAGTTGCAGCAAACAGTGCCTTGCTCACGGCAGTAAAACTTGACATTTTGTTCGAGCCTTCACACCACGTTAAATGGACTGTTTTGTTCTTGGGGCAACTTATATTTCCAAATAAAACAAAAACAGAAGTCTCTGGGAATACTCAGCAGGTCAGGCAGCATCTATGGAAAAAGGAAAGCGAGTCAACGTGTCAGTTCCATGACCCTTCGTGAGTCCCGAAACGTTGACTCACTTTCTTTTCTCCATAGATGCTGCCTGACCTACTAAGTGTTCCCAGCGACTTCTGGTTTTGTTTTCAGATTTCCAGGATCTGCAGTATTTTGTGTTTTGTTTATATTTCCACATCCTTCTTTTCATAATACTCTTTAACTATTGACTCTTTGGAACAGAAAATTAACTCAATGATTTTTGATGATTCATGAGTGGTTATTCGTGTTGCACATATTACTCATCTGAATGGAAACTGGGTATTTGATGTCCTGACTATAAAGTCCAACAGATGAGTTTATAGATTAACGTTTCACTTCCCTCGGGCACTGTTGTCGGGCCGAAGGGCATACCAAGAGGCAGTTGAAGACAATTTTCAGAAGTTCTGTATAACTGAACTTCTGAAAATTGTGGTATGAGTTAATTCTTCACCTTGTTTCTCCCGCCACCCCCCCATAACCACACACACACACACACACACACACAGACACCATGGATATTACTCCCACAGCCGGGTTAGATAAAGATCTGTGTAGGTTCTCTATTCTGCCACTGTAAGATTGTATGTCCATACCCTAATGTGCTCTGCTTCAACCCATTACGGTTGATTAAACTTATCTACCTATTTCTTCTCTGAGACAGGAGGGAAAAGCAAATCTGTGGAGTTGGAAGATGTGAAATTTCACCAGTGCGTGCGTCTCTCCCGATTTGAGAATGACCGAACCATTTCATTCATCCCGCCCGATGGAGAATTTGAACTGATGTCTTACCGTTTAAATACACATGTAGGTATCGGGGGGCACTATGTGAGAGTCAAATTGGTTTGGTAATAATTGGTTTGACTGTTACTGGATTGCAAGGCTATTATTGTGGAGTCATGTAGCTTAGTGGTTAGAGTACTCGGCTCGCAAGTGAGAGGACCCGGGTTTGATTTCCGGGCAGGGCAATACCTTAGGCAACTTTCCTTACTCCACATGCCTCTGTTTACCCAGCAGTAAGAAGGAGCGCAGTTATTTGTGAATTGGCGGATCGCTTTTCTGGGGTTAATAATCGTTTCAAATAAATAATTTGGTCACTCAATCCACGACTGTTTGTGGAACATTGCTGTGCGCAATTGGCTGCCGCGTTTCACCCACAAAATAGTCAATTCACTTTCCAGTATATTCTGTGAAGCGCTTTGAAACGTCTAGAAGATGTGATAAGGCGCTATATCAAATGCAAGGTTTATTATACAGGATCTGGAAGCAGATCAAATTATATTGAATTTCCTGGAGGTGAGTGTGACATACCTCCGTTTACCAAAGACATAGACAGATTAAGTGAGTAGGCAAAACCAAAGCCACATGGAGTTTAACATTGCAAAGCTTGCTACTGCAATAGTTAAGTGGGATATTATCGTGCAGAGAGTTATGATAATGTGCAGTGCTTTGCCATAATTAGCTGTTGATGCTGAGACTTTGACACTTAAAAAGGAAATTGGATAAATCTGTGTGAGAGGACGAATGTATAAGGATTTGGGAAAAGCAGGGATTGGAGTTCGAGTGGTTAGCATCAACTTGGATTTGATGGCCGAGTAGCTTCTACCTAAGCCTTATACATTCTTTGAATATATCTGTTTTTATTTACTTTTAATTACAATACAATACAAAATTACATTTATACAGCGCCTTTCATGTCGGGAGGATGTTTAATTGTTTAATTGCAAGGCAGTATTCCTAACCTGAACTCCTGTGGTTAGGGAGTGAAATAATGACACGTCAGAGCTGATGTTGAGCTTAAACACTTGTTCCTGGTTGAGGTGTGCACTAATTATGTTTCTTTCTGGTTACCAGGTAAAGCCTTTGATCTGGATCGAGTCTGTGATTGAGAAACATTCTCACAGTCGGATAGAGTACATGATTAAAGTGAGTTATTTGTCTTCTTGTTAACAAGTCTTTCAAGTGTCAATATCCAGATATCCAGAGGCTGGAAAAATATTTTTTTAACCACTGAATGTCCCACATAATGAACAGAAATGTGAAGTTCGGGACTGAGGAGCTCCAGCTTATAATGTTCTAACTTTATTATTATTAGAATTATGTTGTCTTGACAATATCCATATCCACAGAATGTCATTGCGTTAGTTTGCTCTATCACCAAGTCATTTAATTCCAGCAGTTAGCAGCTTGCATCTTTAGGATAGATTTTCTTTCCCTTTATTCTTATCCAAAATCTGCTACTTTATATTTTTGCATTGAACCTGCACCTGCCACTGATCTGCCCACTCTGGTAGACTACCTTAGTCCTCGTGAAGTCGCACAATCGGGCTCACCCTAATTTGATGTTTTCATCTGCCCACCTAATTTGACATTGTTCCCTCCTGACGTCAAAGGTGCTACATAATGTTAATTGTAGGATACGTCATACCTCCAATTAGAGTCAACCGTGTTGAAAATAAAGGACAAAGACGTGTTTGAGAATGAAGCTTGTACAACAGACCTTACAGTAGGTGCACCATAAGCACTGAACATATCTATCTATAATTTTGAACATAACTACAACCTGTTCAGTAACTTGTTTCTCTTCTTCCACACAGGCCAAGAGTCAATTCAAACGCAGATCGACTGCCAACAATGTTGAGATCCACATTCCAGTCCCAAATGATGCAGATTCACCTAAGTTTAAGACCACAGTGGGCAATGTGAAATGGGTGCCAGAGAGCAGTGAAATAGTGTGGTCCATCAAATCATTCCCCGTAAGCATTCCTTTTTTGTTCTCTGAATCGATAATACTTTTTGGCCACAGAATACACTTTACAATATATCCTGTGAAGCGCTTTGAGATGTCTCAACAACGTGATAAAGCGCTTTATCAAACGTAAATGCCAGGAGTATTATTATGACATATATTTCAAAAGAAAGCCTAGAATTCACTTTAAAATGCTTACAACACATCCCGATTAAATGTCAGGGGCCCTATGCTAACTCACTGGCTTCAGGGCACTGGATTGTCTCAGGTTCGGGTGAAATTGGCTTACGGGAGGCTATTCAGTGTATAACCAAGCATGTTATGCCAATTTATTAAATTGTGAAAAGTCTTTTGTTACCATCTCCTTGCCTTTTCTCCGGATCCCTTAACACTCTCGCTGTAAGAACCAATTGTTCTGGTTGCTAACTGAAATGTCACAGATTTTCCAAAGCTTTGTTTATCTTACAGCTGCACTTGTGGCTCTGAGCTCTTGAAGTTAGAGAAAAGCTGTTTTTCTCTGCTGGGGCACATTCTCAGTTTTGTGAGAATGTTCAGCAGCAAGTCCTTCTTGCACTCTGTCCTCTGATCCACCTGCCTTCATATGATTTTTTTTTCTTAGACTCTGCCCACCTTTTTCTCTTTCTGTTTTGGGCCATCTATGACTGTTTGTGCAGTCACTGCTATGCGCAATTAATTGAGTTGGTTGATGAGTGATTTTCAAATGGCTGAGCCATTTCATGGCTCCTACCTTATAAGGAGTTCAAAAGAGCTGAAAAATGGCACAAATATTGCTCGATATGCATTGTTCCAACCTATCACACCTCACGTCTCAACTCCGAATCATAAGGTTGTGGATTTCAACCTCATTTTAGGACTTTGAACTCACAGTCTCGGCTGACACTCCAATGCAACACTGGAAGGGAGAACTGCATTGTTGCAGGTGCATTCCTTTGGATGAGACATGAAACCAAGATCCTGTTTGCTTATTCAAATTTACATTAAAGTTTCTGTGGCACGATTCGAATGAGAAAGGAATTTCTCTTGGTATCCTGGCCAACAATATGTTAGGATAAGTTGGTCATTCATTTCACAGCTATTTGTGCAACATTGCTATTTAAGTTAAATGCTGTGTTCACATACAAATACACAGTTCATTTTACAGTAAAATCCTTTGAAGCGCTTTGAGGCATTTCAACAACATGTTAATAAGTAAGACGTTATATCAAATTCAAGGATTCGTTTTTTAATCTTGCCATCTCTTTGGATGCAATTCTTCTTTTAAACTGGGCTGCTAGCCATTCTCACTGTCTGTAATATCGTTAATCTCCGTTTTACATATTAACCACTAGTGACTTCCATGTGTTGTAAAGATTTGTAATTACTCAAAACGGAAAGCCTTGCACTGGATGGAAAAACGAACCCATGTTCTCAGATTTCATGGAATAATTTTAAAGGATGAGAAAAAGGTGAAGTAAAGCCTAAGACGTCTCTATTGGGTTGTTGACAATGTAATGTATGATTTCCCTGCCATTGGGGGAATGGGGGAAATTGTTTTTCTCTCCTCCCCCCACCCACCCCAATCCCTGGAGCTTTATTGAAAAATCATTTGAACTGCTTATTTAAACTGGAGCACAGGGAGAAAAAGTGATTTGCTGCTTAATGTCTCAGACATCTTACCTGCTTTAACTGGTGCTTAGGAATCACAAGATGTTACAGCCCAGAAAGAAGCGATTGGGCCATCAAGGAACACTAGAGTCAAATCTAATCCCACTCTATTCTCTCCCATATCCATAGGGCTAAGGTAGTCTTAATGGGGGCTATGAAAAATGTACAGTCGATGTGATTGTGGTCTTTTCCCCCCCCTCCCTCTTGTCTGCAGGGTGGGAAGGAGTACCTGATGAGAGCACATTTTGGACTCCCCAGCGTGGAGGCCGAAGATAAGGAGGGAAAGCCTCCGATCAGTGTCAAGTTTGAGATTCCATATTTCACCACTTCAGGAATACAGGTGGGTGGCGCCCGGCCGCACTGCGCACTTATCAGCAGTAGGTGGCGATGCTGCTGTTGGTTTTGCCTAAAGGCCGTTAGAAATGTAGGTTCAAGAGAACGAGATTAGAGTCAAAGGCATTCTTTATTTCCTTACCCTCTCTACCACCACACAGAGCAGTTTATTTAACATTTCTATATGGTTTATTTATTCTCCTCCCCCCCCCACCCCCATCTGAGTGAAGAAATTCTATATTGTTGGGTTGCAAGTGGAATGGAGACCTCCCATATCAAATCAACGAGCAGGAAGTTTACTTGCCCAATGATAAACGTGGCTGTGATCTGCCTTCTTTTGTCTTTCATTGGAGTCCTGGATTTGGTATCTATCCTGGTGCCACTGCTCCCAGTACTAGTTACAGCGTTCAGGTGAGATACAAGTTGTGTCCTCTGGTGGAACAAACTAATACAAGAAAGGCTTTGGTTTGTTGTGGGAGCAATGAATTGAACGCACACTTCGTCTGAGTGTTCCTTTCAAAGAAAATAAAATAAGATGCATCACTTTTGCTTATATTCTTACCAACTTCTAGCACTAAATATATCTCCAGTGAATAATAATAATAATAATAATAATCCTTGCATTTGATATAGCGCTTTTCACGTCGGGAGGACGTCCCAAAGCGCTTCACAGAACACACTGTAAAGTGAATTGATTGTATATTTGTGGGCGAACGCGGCAGCCAATTGCGCACAGCAATGTCCCACAAACAGTCGTAGATTAAAGATGACCAATTTATTATTGTTTTTGGTTTTGGAGGGATTATTATTAGGCTCTGTGTGGAGTAAGGAAACTTGCCCAAGGTTTCGCCCTCTGCCTGGAATTGAACTCAGGTCTCTCGCTTGTAAAGTGAGTGCTCTAACCACTGAGCTACAGGACTCCACTGAGTCCTGAATGACTAAGTCTCGCCTGCACTATCGTAACTAAATTACATTGTTTAGACCTGTCTGAGCTGTATGGATCAGTGACACACAAAGATCTAGTCTAATTTGTTTTTATAACATGAATGTCAAAGATTTGAGTGTTGAACATTCTCTGGTGTGAAAAGCTGGAAGAAAAAAAACAGTTTTCCTAGCAGTAAGTAGGAACCCAGGTGTTAGTCGACTGGCGGATTGCTTTTCCGTGGGTAATAATGCCTTCAAATAACTTTTTTTTTAAAAAGAATAATAATTTGGTCACTCAATCCATGACTGTTTGCGGGACATTGCTGTCTGCAATTGGCTATTGCGTTTCACTTACAAGATGTCGAGTCAATTCACTTCACAGTACATTCTGTGAAGCGCTTTGAGACAACTGAACGATATGATCAAATGCAAGGATTATTATTCTCATGCTGCTGCGATCAGTGACGTATGTTCCAGATCCCTGGTGAAATTTCATCTGCTTTCACTTCACAGCGTCAGCTGAGTTGGTCCATAATGTGCCACAGGTGACTGACTCACAGATTACATTCAACCCCTCTGATCTAGGCCCAGTTCCAGAGGTACTGTTACCAATTCACACCAAAAACGTATTTAGCAGTTTTTTGGGCTTTCAGATTTTCACATCATGCCAACTTATGTCAATGTTACATTATTATTATTATTGACATAAGGGCTTATTTAAATAGTGACAGTCAGTCACAGATGCTCCCCAAGCCAACTTGCTCCTCCAGCCAATACTTCCACAAGCATCAAGCACTGCAGCAATACAAATCAGGGGGACATGGGGCTGTGTTTGACATCCTTTGAAGCCATAACTGCTGCAACATATCATTGCTGTGTCATTTCAATGTGGATTTGTAATCTTGGCTTCTCACCAGCCTGAGTTGTACAATGGGCTTGCTGTCATAGCAACTTGCACTTAAGAGTATATGCAGCAATATATTGAGATATTTTTGGTGTGTGTAAACCTGCAGGTTATTAGCTGAGTAGTTACCCCACACTGTAACATGCAAGAGCATTCCAGATTGATGAAGTGTTGGTTTTGATGTCTATCTTTGATTTCTAGTTTCTTTGTTGCGTTCTTTGAGTCACTAAACCTGTTTTAAGCGATGAGAATTATCTTTTGCCTAGGTTCTCGTGGTATTGTATCTCTTAGCTTTGAACTACTCCTGCACAAAAGCAATTGGCACCTAATTAGCTATCCAATTCACAAGCACTTCACACAATCATAAGACAACAAAAAAGTCAACTAATCTGAAACTTGTTGCTTACAATAGCATCGTTTTAGATGTTAGGTTATTGTTCCACCATCTGTGCTAGTATCTTGTCTGCATCGCTTTCTCCCTTTCACCAAAGCACCTCCTGTATTGCCTGTTCTGTTGTGTTATTTTGAAGCCAAAGCCTCATGTTATGGAACCATGTCCATGACAGAAATTATATCATTATCAGGTCTATTAAATCTTAAAGTAATGATATATAATTTTTTTTAGATAATAGGGTAGGTATGACTTTTTGGTCACCCTGTATGTGTTTCAGTTTTCTGATTTTAAGCAGTAGGTGGTGCTGTGGACAAACTGAAAACCCATCTTGAAGTCTTATAACTCCCATAAATAAATAAGACAAGTGGGTGTTTGACAGGGTCTGGTTGACAAAATGTAGAGATTCATGTTCAGAATGTAAAATAACAAAAATTTGAAGGGTTGCCCTAAATTAAGGGCAAAGGCATGATAGCTTATTATAGGAATATAAGTCTAGAAAACCATTTTCCAGGTGAAAACTCAAACTGTCACATTCTTTTTGACAGCAGCAGATCCACCATAATACTAATGTGTAATTCTGACTGGCAGAGATTTGCAAAAAAGCCTGATCTTGCACACAGTCACCTGTGAATCTCTATACCATACATACCAGCAATGTCCTGGTGGTTTTTTTTCTTAAACTTTGTCAATCAGCTGATTCTGGGAGATGCATAGCAACAACTTGGGTTTACAGTGGAAAATTGACACATGCGACTTACACCATATTAAGACGATGACAATTAAATTAGTGGACACACTCCTGTCAAACAAATGAATATCGTTTTCCAGTAAATGGAACATTGATTTGTTGTCAAAAGATGGTTTGACAGATTCTAGGAGATCCCAGAACGGCTGAGACATTCACGCTGCTGCTTTCTGCCACTGATTCTGGGTACAAGCAGGGAGGGGGGATGAGCCAATTCATAAGCCACGGTGGAACTATATCGTTGTAGGTCTTTGGTCTGCCACTGGCTTCAGTTTGAGATCTCAGTGTCAGTTTTAAACGTTGGTGTGTCGGGCACTAGGCGTGTAGTGCAAACTTCAGGAGAGAGCTGGACCTGAAGGTTAAATCATCGACGTATTTAAACTGTTGATACACAGCTGACAAATAGCACCAATGTTACTGAACATGAATCTGTAATAATGTCTACAGTTCAGTACCTCTTCAGCTGGTGCTTTGCTATGTTCATATTGCAGATCCAGATAGGAAAATAACACTGAATGCTTTATCAGATCTCTCTCTGTATTTAAAACCTTAAGGTTGAGTATTTCATTGATGCGGTGGGGGGTGGGTGGGAGTTATAGCTGTACCTAATTAAATGTCAGAATTTACTACTCTGTAATAAGTACCTGAGTTCTTGCTGTGACATTAGCATACTAGTGTGCCCCACATGTGCCAAACCTGTTTGCAGATGTGGCAGGATGCTGTGCAGCCTAGTTAGACAGAAATAAGTGTTTCAGAAAACCTGGCAACTACTTGTGTCCAAAGCTAAGAAGTTCCATAAACCTGTCAGACCAAAGTAATTAGTAAAATGTAAGCTGCTGTTGCTGCCAACAATACTGTTTGCAACTGGCCAGCGCAGTTTGGCAGAACCATTCTGATCTTCTCACAAATGTTTGTTGTACTTTGAAAAGGTACCAAAGAAGGGGTATAAATGAAGCCGCTAGCAGCAACCTCGAAGAGCGGACTTATACTCTCTGTTCCTCATCACTCTGGGCAGGGCTGTATTTTTCTTGAATAAAAGCCTTAAATTTCTTTTGGAGTTGGATGTTATTGGTGAGTAATTTCCCCCCTTCCACTGCTCCGTGAAGTTGTTTGGCTGCTTTTCCCTTCTAGTGCCATGCAAGTCGAATCAGCAACTATCTATAAAGTCATTGGGGTTGCTGGGTGTTGCATTGTTTTTATTCCTATTCCAGAGTTCTTACAAATAACAGGCCTCTTTAGCACTTACAAAATGACCCCTTGAAGGTCCTAGGTTGCCTCAGATTTCATCGGAAACTGCTGGTGGTGCATGTGGAGCTGAAATCCAATACCACTGTTGACGAGACTCAGCAGTACAAAGCAAAACACCACATAAAACCATCTTCTCTGTATTCTCAGTAACTGGGTTTCAGCGCCATTCAGAAGTGCTCGATTCAGATTTGTCCTTGTGTATGCCATTCCTGAGAGTCATCAGTTTTTCTGTGCCACTCCTGATATTCTCGATTCTGCCGTTTCCGAGACTCTGCGATCTGCATGTGTCAGGAACTGACCCGAAGGATGACTTAAAAACAACTGCACTTGCATATTTTCCCTTTGCTATTTGACCCTGTTGTGTAATGTAAATGTGCCACTAAGACTGACTGGGGTCGAGGCAAGCTTCTTTATGAGCTACATTGTTTTCAGGTCATTACCCACAGCAGGTGGAGGGAAGCAGCATTTAAGGATCGAAACTATGGATACACAAAGCAAATCTTGTATAAACAGGAATTGCACATGGTTAGCACAGCAGAGGCTATAGCCGCGCCAAAGAGCTAGGTAATCACGTAGGGAATTGAGCTTTATTAATTAATTTGGTCCAAGTCGTAAAGCTTCAGTGCAGAGCGCTGGTGCATAAAACTCCCAACCATTAATCTTTCAGATGCTGATTAACCCAGTGTCCCTCCAGCTTGTCTCCCAGTTTTTCCTCTTGTTACCGTGTCTGTTTTCAGGCTTTTCTGCTTTTAGATTTAAAAAAAGCAGGAGTTTGATTTTTCGTACAGTGGC